GCAGTCGAATATCGACGAATACTCTGGTGTCTGTACGTTTTATCAGCCGAACCTAACATTTCTCAGTGACGGATGCGTTCTTTTGTTTTTTCAAAAATCTACACGTTCTTTCCTCTGTTCGATAGAATAGAATTCCGACGAATAAGAATTTGCTATGAAACTAACAGCGTTGCAGTCGTACAGAAAGGAAATACAATTTAATTAAAAACGTGGAAGGTGGTGTAAGAATCGGCGATAGAGTTCATCGAGAGTACGTGACGTTGGAAAAGCTACGGTCACAGATGTTAGAAGATGGAAACGCGATATTGAGAATTATCTAAAGCGCGTGGATTCGTCGAATGATGGGGTAACTGTAGGGTAATCTTAAATACGCCGATGTAATGGGATGGTTTCGTTGCGATAAAGACGATAATAACGACGATTTTATACAAATGGAAACAGCCAGCTAAAACGGTAATGGAGAGGCACTTTCTCATGCCGAGGCACCCGTGCCACTCGAAAAAGGGGCTTCGATCGTACAAAATTCACCGTACAGAGAAAATGTCATTTTACGCAGTTATTTCTACCTAAAAAATCATGTGACGTAGTGGTTAAAAAGATATGGAATGTATAAATATTCGAAGAATCTATTTATAGGAGTAAATCTATCGATCCATTAATAGAATTAAAAGAAATAAATACATCCGAAATGTATGCAAAGTTGAACGAAAGGAAGATTTGTATAAAAATTGTAATAATACGATGCGGCAAGTTCACCATACCATTTAATTAAAGTGGGTGTATATTTTTTTGAGGGCATTCTCTGTATATCAGAAATATATTACGAAATAGAAATACGTTATTACTGGTTTTCCGACGAGAATCCGAAGTGTATGAAAAATTTAATCGACATAGATATTTATCGACGCGACAGTTGCAATTTCACGGATACAAATATCTTGCGAGACTTCCCATCGTCGTAATTTGTATCTCCTTTATACACATCGTGCGTCTGAATATTTTTCCTAATATTCTGATTGAACTGTAGATTTTGATTCAAATTCATATTTTTGAGAATATGATTAAAAAGAAAAAAAAGAGAGAAGAACCTCGATAGAAAACTATCGTATATTATCAGCAGCGTATCGTACCACGTGCATTTTGTACAATTTTATCGAAACTGAGTTACAAGAGCCAAGCAAACCGAACGTCAAACAGACTACGCGTCGTGTGTTACTTTATAGGAAAATCACGGCAATGTCTGTAACATTCGCAGTATTTTACCACTCTATCTACGATAGCAATTAAAAGTTCATCAAACAGACGATTACATCACGTACAAGCCATTTGAAAGTCAAATTGTTCCATTTTCCGAAAATTTCTTCCCTCTAACTCTTTAAGGCTATTACATCGTGGCTTATTAACATACTAAATAACAATTGGCTGTTCGAATAGTTTGATGATTTTTGGAAAGTACGTGTCCCTGATAAATACCCTGATAACTTCTATGTACACTTTCAAATCCGTTTGAAATTTCACCGATACGATCACGTTAGGCGTGTCTCGCTACAGTGCTGCAATGGTCATTTCAAAATTCTTCGTATATCATATACGCAAAAAGTTTCCAGCAACGTTGAAACAGCTTCGTGAGCCACGTGTATTTTATTTATAAACAATTTTTGCAATTGTTGCGATACCTTAGTATCTGTAGTAATAATCGTTGAGATATCGTGGCAACCAAGTAAGTACACTGTATCGTACATGAAAACGAAGTTACTCGATTATTCGAACGGTATGTACTGGGATTAGTTTCGATGGGTGTTTGAATGATAACGGAATATTTGGTCAGCATAAGGACCGATCCCTCCCATATCGATCGCGTTTATCGATATTTGATAAAGAGGTCGTTTGCAAATTACATTTACCGTATACTGTTGCTCGCGAAATTATTCCAACACTGATACGCGCTTCTTTGCGAATATATCGCGCGTGTATGTGTGTGTTGTACGAAATATCTTGAAATTTCATTCAAGATTGTCGGTACACATCATCGATAAATAAATTGGTAAATTTTATATTACGTATTACATTGTATTTTATATTATATTTGCATGGGAAAGAAATCTGAAAACGCGCGTACAAGTTACAAGATATTTAACGCGAGTAATTAAACAGTCAATTATCCATCGCATCGATGCGTCTCAGTGTTCAATGGAACAGTCTTTAACGTCTATAACATGTTGAAGATGGGGCTCTTTATGGCGTACCTCGTGGAGGAAATTAATTTCACGAAATTAATTAAACAGTCAATTATTCGCTGTACCGATACGTCTCGATATTCAATGGGACAATTTTTGATATTTATCGTACGCTTAAGATACCTATCCATACTATGTACTATCTTTTTTGGCCAAATATTCGCAACGACTATCTTCTATCTTCTATGCGATCAGAATAGTCGTGTCTCGTTACAAAACGAACAAAATTCCGAAAAGTCTCGTGTAACGGACACACCGCGAGGGTATAGGAGGCGTTTGTGCGTTCTTTAAAACAGAATAACTTCTTAAAAATTGAGTCAATCTGTTTCCTTCTTCTTTTTTCTTTTTTTTTTTTTTTTTCGACGAGTTAGAAGAATTGGGAAGATCAACAATAGGTGACGCGTAAAGAAATATCGAAAGAAGTACAATTAGTCGGAATCGCGAGGAAGAAAGTAAAGGTAGCTTTTTACAACTTCTTTTAGCTGCACCTGTAACGAACATTCGAACAACACATTTCGAAGATTTCTTCTAACTCGTCGAGCAAAATTCGAATCGTTCGGTCCACGGTTCGAGACGAGTTATTTCGTTCCAAAGAACGCACGAAACGAAAGATGTTTTTACGGCGAGTGTCGGACTATTTTCGCTCTCGAGCCATTGTAAGTCGAATTTTAGTTGCGATGTCGACAAATCATTGATTCAGTGACGGTGAATTTTCTTTTTCCTGGATGTGACGCGGATGCGCAGAAACTTTGACGTCAAAGGTTCCCGCTGAACGAACAGGACCTTCCGGCTGTCATGGATATTGATTTTCCTTGGGCTTCGAGGTTTCTAGAGCAGCTGTGCGTACCACCCATCCAGCGCAGACTCCGGCTATTCTCAATATGGCTGTCTATTGTGCCCAAATCCACTCGTTTCGCGTTGCAACGCGCTCGCGGCGATACACCAGGATGCGATCAATGCGCCAGGAACATCAGCCGATCGCGATTTAAACAGCCGAATTTATTTTCGAATCTGACGCGCTGTACGTTATCAACATGGCCGATACATGTGCCGCTGTCACGTGCTTCCTGATCGTCGCGTCCATCTCCATCGTCGTAAACGTCAATGGTAAGCCTCGCATTTTACTCGCTTTGTCTGGCCGCTCGAACCTTCGCCTCTTTAATTCGACGCGTTTCTCATACGTTTTGCCACCAGTCAAATTATATTTCTGTGAAATTCGCCGATACGCGTTGCCCATCTTCGGTGTTTGCCAGAGAAGAAAACGTCGATCGTTACGCCTCGTTCGTCACGCTGATTTTCACGTCGATACGATCGGAATACCAAAGTTGATCGTCTCGACAGTGTGTTGACCAGTTAGCCGTTGCGACTAATGCGACTAAAATGCGTTAGAAAGGATAGAACAGCTACTTCGTTCACGCTGTATTATGGTTTTTCCATAATAATTATTTAGATTTGTTCGTCCGTTCGTTTTACCTAGTCCTGGCTTCCAAATAGTAGAAACGTCTTCAAATTTACGAATATGTTTTAGTTTTCACTAAAATTGCAGTTTAAACAGCAAAATTGCAAGTGCTTTTCACGGGTGACGAGTATACTCGTCGAAAGTAGGTAACTGGTCAAGACGGAAGATAATTTGCCGGGATAAACAACGACGGTATTTCGTCTTTGAGAATTTTTAATTTGAGGAATTCTTCTTTCAACAAAGATTGTTTCTGTAATGGAAGATGGAAGTTTCTCTTTCTTTCTTTCTTTCTCGAGGTTTCTTTCTGTTACATGGCCCTGCTTGTTTTACGAGCAAGTTGCGTTTTAGGAGCGTGTTTCGTTGAGAGAGTTTTCACTAGATGTCTGAAGGAACGATGTTTCGTCTATTTATAGCGAAGATGTTCCTCTACATATAGACTGCATACAGAGGAAAGTGCACCTGTTGAAGCCTTCGCTCGTATGTCTTAGCCATTTGTGTTACGAATCGTGTAAACAACGATCATTGTACACGGTACATTCAATCGACTTTTCTTTCGTCATGAGCTTCGCGATGAATTAGCATTTCGAGTCTGCCTTTTTTATTTACAGTCTTGCCTATATTTCTACGAATTATTACAAACTATCGCATACATATTTTACTTCTCTACGTATAAAATAAATAATTCGTACTAAATACATCTATTTGTCTTTTTTTTTTAACAGCAAGAATATTACAATCGATTTTCACGGAGAATTTTTAACATTAGATCGTCCCGAAAGTGTCTTTCGTCCTATAAGGAAATAATAGATGTACGACACTTTTTGTTTTAAATTATTTTATCGAATTACGTTTAATCCACTCTATTCTGTTGGAACCAGATGTGAAATAAAACAGCGCAATATACGTAGAATTTTTAACTTCGTGAAATACACATAGAATATTTTGTGCATATCGAATCTGTAGTCTTGCGTAGATCCAATCGTCGTATAGATGCAAACGTAGTCGTATACTTCCTGTTTAAGTCTTCGGAGATGATCCAATCTCTTAAGAAGCTGAAAGTCCAGAGGATTGGTACGATTGGTCAAGCGTGCGTGCAAGCGTTTTTCCGAATTTGGAAATATCTTCTATAACTGTATAGGTATTGTTAAGTACCTGTGTATGATTTCGTTGATTACCTGTCAAAGGTAGTCCGGATAAGCATTAATAACGCCTTAAATCGAAATCGTCGAATGCTCTCGGAATACGTTTAATTAAAATAAATTGAAATAAATTTTTCGTAATTTCCAGATACGTTTACGATATTTTGCTTGCCAAGTGTTACCGTGGGTCGTATCACAAGGACAGCAGAAAAATTTGGCAAAATATCGTTAGAAACGCTATTCGACCCAAAAAGGAATTTACGTAGGCACGAAAAAGCTAAACATCCGAAGAATTCCGTTGTAAATAAGAAACCTAAACCGATGTTTCGCCTTATTAGACGATTTCCTCGACGATATCCCTTTCCGCTATCTTCCTAGCGACCTCGTCAACGAACGCGACTAAATTTCATCTCGCGCATATTGCCGATGTATCTGTTAAATGTCAAGACCAATATCCATTTACTTTTACAAAAATGTACAAAAATCTGACACGTTTGTTTGAAAAAAGAAAAAAAGGAAGAAGTAGAAGAATTAACGAAACATTAACATCGACAAAGAGTAAGAAATTTCTAAAAAATAAAAGACAAAACAGAAGACGACGATTTGCCCAACGTCTTACGTCCGATTACTAGCTCGATTTTAATAATCTTTAGAAATCTAGGATAAATCACGATTTCTATTAATTAACACGTATTTGTCGGTTGATTGTGTTCGATGATCAGGGCAACTGTCGACTACGGAACATCGAACTCAGGCGGCATCGGAACGAATAAACGATTTATGGTGTCATCAGTGTGATACGATGGAAGATGGAGAGAGATGCGCCAATCTGACCGGAAACTTCAGCACTTTCGGGCAAAAGTGCACTGGTGACAAAAGGACCTGTATGGTAATGACAAATGACAACAGCGATTCAAACGCTTGTTGATTATACACAGGGCGCGCACGTGTTTCAACAGATGTTTGATATTTTGCTTCGGTCGCGTGCTTTTAAAGCAAACAGAACGTAGCAAACGGCTACTAGCTAGAAGCGATATTAGTTATCGTGAACGCGAGAGCGAGAGAAGACCGTTCAAGATAGAGCCACAGTTTCATTTCGTACGTAACGCAATTTTAGTGTTTGGAAATGTTCGATATAGTCGATTGATTCAGTTTCATAATAATCGCGTTCTTTATTGAAATTGTTTCTGCTTCTGCTGTAGAAACATATATGTACATGGTGTACACATTTGAGAGAATATACAAATGCAATTTTTTATTTGTTCTTCTTATTTATTGATAATCAACGATGATATTGGATATGGTATAATCGTACAGTTTGCACATACACGGTAAAAATTTGACGAAACCTGTAATCGCTATTAGTCGACCGAATAAACATTGAACGAGTCGTATTCTCTGGAAATGATACGAGATAATCCGGAAAATATTGCCGTGACATTTCTTGCGTTTGAAAATTGATATTCCCTTGACTAAAAATACGTTACGTTCACACTCGCTCGTGTTCGTTACAAGTTCCAATGTGAAATGTCATACGGAGTATAACAAGCAATTGTTGCAAATATTCGGATTAATTTTAGTATTTACGCACACGTACAATTCTTTCTCGTCTTTTCTTTTTAGTTCTCTTTCTTCTCTTTTCGCGCGATAGTATCAAGTTGCGATCTGCTATGACATATCGTACAACGAACACTGTGAAAGTTTAAAATCCGCAAATATTCCTTTCACGTTTGCTTCTCTCTCTTCAGGTAAAGCGATTTTCTTACACTACCAGCACGGAAGATTCAACGTCTAGTCCACAAACTTGGTCGGTGGAGAGAAAGTGTACTAACAAATGCGACTCCGGATGTATAGTGGTCGGTGAACGAACGAAACTCTCCGCTTGCACCACTTGCTGCGAGAAATCGTTTTGCAATATCGGTACCGGTGCTGCGAACGACCTGACGATAAGAGGGATCGATCTGTTTCTAGCCTTAGTATTACAAATTACATTAACAATTATCATGTATCCGTCCTGACATTGCAGAAATAACACTCGATCGTGAATCATTTTAGTCGCCGATCAGAATAATTGGTTCCATTAACGCGTTTATACATACGTTGTAACATACACTGTAATATTACACCACAACACGATACGCAAGATTTTATCGCATTGCCAATGAAAATGCTGTTCTCATTTTGTAAATGTACACATGGAGTTTCATTCGTTGTGCGTTTCATAATAATATTACGATAAATATTGATTAATAAGTCAATAAAATTACGACGATATCGATAATACGAAGCTCAGAAATAAGAAAATAATAACGATGTTCTCGTTCTACTGTCGATAAATCAAAGAACAATTGATAATATAAAAAGGGGATGTTCTTAAGAATACGATGCTCATAATTCTCATAAATCTACGAGAATGAAATTTAAAACACTGCTAAGTTATTACTCGATCGTTCAACGAACCGATGTAATTTAAATTGTAAATTTTAGAAAAATTGTTATAGCAATACACTACCAATAAATTGTACAAAGAAACAAGCTTTTCTAAAAAAAAAAAAAAAAAAGAACTGATTAATCTCGATATAATAATAAATACTTTTTATCGATTTCCATTTTTCCATTATCCTCTACTTCATTCCCAAGGATGTTAATAAGAAACATATTAGGTTGTTCCAAAAGTCTCTGTCTGTATTATAAAAAAATAATAGATGCGCAACATTTTTTCTTTTATATTATTTTATTGAATTTTCTATGATCCGTTTTCTACTAATAGAACAAAATTGTAATACATAATGTAAAACAAAAAATGCTGTGCATCTATCACTTTCTTATGAAACGAAAGAATCTTCTGGGAAAACCTAATACGATGGGAATTTTCTCGCGGACACGACATTGGAAAATTGTACACAACTTTTATTTAAATCCCTTCGTACGATCTTTGTACGATATTCTTTTATTAATTATATCTTGACTCTCTTTTTATTTTACTTTAATTTTCAAGTATCCTCCAATTGATTTCCAATTATTTTGATTATTTTGCAGGAAGCGAGCAATTTTAATGATCGGCATATTTTTCGATACTCGTGAACAAGAGTGTACAGCCCGGACGTTTTTGCACATGCACATTTCTCTCAAACGCACAAACATCCGCATTCCGCTTACAATACTAAAATTTCGCTGGAAACAGGGAAACGTGAGATCAGGTATCTACTAAATCGCTTAAACTATATAACTTATACCAGCGCGTTTACAGCTGTAACCAATTAACGTAGTTAGCCTGTAGCCTAAATGAAAGCATTCAGTTTATACTCGTGCATTCTGTTCTTCCAACAGCATCCTGGAAATCTGCGTGTTATCGTTTTCGTAGAAGTCAAGAGAAGTCAAGAGAGCTTCGGTTGAACGTCGATCCGACCTCGCCAAACGCAAGATCGCAAAGTTCTTAAATTTCTGGAAGGTTCTAACGGAATTTAGGGTCTTGTTCCAATGGAAAACACACGTTTGTTTCTACGAATCAGTCTGAATTAAATTTCCACAACCGTGAATAAAGGAATATGATTTATCGTGCGATGGCGTATCGTGTAATGAAAACTAAGGCAGAAAATGGAATTTTTTTTTTTTCGTAGAAGACGAGAGACGACATCGCCTTGTTAAGAGGAAATAAAACCATTCTAAGAAAGAATAACGATCGTCGTTAAGCGTAATGTAATTTCTTTCTGAAGAGACATACTAATCTATCGCCCACACGCGATGCCTCGATGCTAAGCATCTCTCATTTTGCATCTCGTTCGTTGCCATTCGTCTCGTCGTGTGAAACGCGAATAAGATGGAAAGAAATATTTTTTGTTCCAAGAGGCGATTATTCGAACAACAATTTATCAATGGATAAGAGAATCACAAATGTTCCTTTTAATATCGACCGTCTTTCTCTTCTTTTTTACTCTTACTTATCTGAAATTCTTTATCTCCAAATTTCGATTAACCATTTTACAAAACGTACGCTGTTGTCCGTTTTACGTTTAACTGTTATGAAATTTTATTTACGCAATCTTGCAAGTAAAGTACATTTTGCCAAGAGTAATCAAGCGGCTGCCTACTTTTGAACAATACTGTACTCAAGAGCTACTTACAGTGGCTACAAAAAGTATTTCTATATTATTTCTACTATCGTGTTTATCCCAGCATGCTAATCGATTAGATTAATCGAAAGTATACTAATTGTCCTCTGTCTGCAAAAACCTTACCTTTACTGACATTTACACGCTGGCTCGTTTAGGATCGTGCGATTTCTGTTTACGTTCTCTCGTGTTTTAAAAAATGTGCTCAAAAATTCTTGAATACTCTTGCAAGTTCCTAGAATATCTTCCAATAATTTTCACATCTTTTTAAACGAAGCAGAATCTAAGCAAAAATATGGATAAAGTGGAAGATTACTTAAAGCGCTGGTCGAAAACCACCCACTATGCAGATGGACAGATAAATTTCGCGTCGCTTGATAGTATTATACTACTACAACTACGACTACAATACAAACTATTGACACTAGTTGAAAGTGAAATGTAGCGCCTGATGAAAAAATAATACTTGTGCGATTGGAAAAGATAGAGATACGTAAGTATTAGCATTAGGTTATCGCAAAAGTTTCTTTCGTTTTGTAAGGAAATAACAAATGTACATTTCTTGTATCATATTATGTTATTGAATTATGTACGATCTATTTTGCAGTAATAGAATCCAGTTTATTTTATTCATACAGAATTCGATAATAATAATAAAATACAAAATGTTGCGCATTCGTTATTTCCTTATAAGACGAGAAAGAAGCTTTTGGGACAACCTAATGCGTACAAGTACCTTTTCACAGCCACTGTATAACATTCTAAAAGATACTGATGATATATCGGATATTGTTAGCTGTAGCTGCACAGCCACCACGCACCGAGCATCGCAAATATCGAAAGGCCTGAAGAAAATTCGAAGAATAAATCGACGCGAGAAAGCTGTAATTTTATAAAACCGAATTATAATCGACGAGACGAGTAAACGCGTAACAGGTGTCATAGAATAGAAAAAGGTTTGTGTAATAGGCAAAAGAACGTTTAATGTAAATTTTACTTAGAATTCATATACGTAAGTAGATATGACCTTTCTGCCAGTCACTGTGCATTATCTGACATAATTTATCTCTCGTACTTATTCTTTCATCCAGGCAAAGGAAGCTGTCGGAACAGATTTAATTCCCGTTCATTAGATTCATCGCCTTACCGAATACGATATTCTCGAGTTCGCGGTTCAAGGGAAAGCGAAGAATTCTGGTGGGGGCGAGTGCAACGTTCAAGATGAAATCCTCGGCCCTTGTTAAATCGTCTCGGTCGGGGTCGAACAATGCGTTCGCCGGCATCCTCGTTTCTCGGTGATTGCACATAAAGCTGCCATTATTAGAACTTCAGTGGGCGGTAAGCGCTGGTGCTTTTTCCAGTCTCGCGTTCGCGCTTACTCTTACGCACAATTCGCCGCTGCACTCGCGTGCGTTTCCAGCCGCGTTCTTCCGTCCATGTGGCTGCCAGTCGTAGCACGAAGCTCGTTCGTCGCGTTTACTCCACTTTTTCCATCGAAACATTTCATCCGGAATATCGCGTTCGACTGCACGTCCAATTAATTATCGTATTTTACTTTCGCCGATGGTGCATCGTTTTCATGGGGAACGTTTAAATTTCCACGTGGTGCCACGTGGTGGAAAAATTGGCCGCCGGTTGCTGCACGACGCTCCTTCGTCGCGTTTACTCCACCTCTTCGGCGAAACGTTCCATCCGGAACGTCGCGATCGACACGAGATCGAAATTAATTATATTCTACTTTCTGCGATGGTGGATCGTTCCTGCGCGAAAGAAAATTAAATTCCTACGGCACGTGGTGAATAAATTGGCCGCCAGTCGCTGCACGACGCCCCTTCGTCGCGTCTACTCCGCTTTTTCGTCGAAACGTTCTGTCCGGGATATCGCGATCGACCCAAGATTCGATCGATCGTCTCATCCTTCCGTCCTTTTCGCGAAAGTCCTTCGAATTTCTGTAACGCGCGCGTGGAAAATATTGGCGCGAATCTTCGAGTTAGTGAGAGAATCTTTGGCTCGAATTTGATGATTCGTTCGCGTGGGAATCGCACGGCGAGGCGTGCGATTGTCGCGATCGCTCTTATCGCTCGCTCCACTTACGTTCCGCTTCGTTCTACCGACTACTAGTTTGCTGCATTCCCGGTTACTTTACTGCTGGTGAATCGTTAATCGACGCGAGTTACCGCGTCGACGAGTTTGTTACGATACGCAAGTACAGTGGAAAAAGGAGTTTAGCGAAACAGTTTCGCGAAGCTTAACGGTTGGACGAATCGAAAGGGATCGAAAGGAATTGGAAGTCGTTCTAAGAATTCTGTCCGAAGACAGCTTTGAGAACGCGAACGACGATTGAAAAAAGAAGAAATTGAAAGACGTCGAAGGAAATCGAGAAACGTTCGAATTCAACGAGGCAGTTTCGTACGCCTAGAGACGACGATCGAAGGAAATTGAAAAAGATTCTGATATAAATACGTGGAGCAAGTATTCACGGTTAATCTTCGCGATAAAGCACTACCTACCAAACCATCGTATTCTATGATTTCATTTTATCTCTGGCATACCGCAGAATCGTTCCCTTCTCCATTATACGATCGATTAAACAGCACCCTGTGTATTAAAAGCAACGATTCACCTTCGCGTTACTTGCACGCGAGCTACGTGATAAAGCGCGAGACATTGAAAATGTTAGATCGCGAGAGTATCGTCACATCCGCGTCTATATGACACGGTGTTTCGAGCGCGTTACGAACCGGCGAATTCGAAACGGCGAAACGAAATGAGAATATCGGGTCTGCGAACTAGCTCCTTTCGTCGCGATAACTACGTCTGCGAGTGAACGAGCATGCCTGGCGAGTTTCGGGCAGCCAGAAAATCCTATTGAAATTTCGATCAAAGCGCGCGAGACATGACGCAATCGAAACTTCCCAGTTTTCTGCTCGCCACGTGGCTGCTCGGCACGATCGCTACTAAGTCGCGAATGAGCGACTTTCTGCAAAGTTTGCAGGAGTACGAGATCGTTTACCCTCGAGTGATCCCGAATGCGAGCGCGCGGAACAGAAGATCGACCCAAGAAGACCGAGAAACTTGGCGCGAGTATCTCCACCAAGAGCCGGTGTTCCTCGAGATCAGCAACTGGACCTTAAGGACCGTGGCCAACGATCGATTGATACTGTCGTCGAATTTCAGCGTGAATTGGGTGCGCCAGGGTAAAACCAAGTCCGAGCGACGTAACGCCAAAGCGAACTGCGATCTTCGACAAGGCAGCTTGGAAGGAGACGCGAGTTCCTTCGTCGTCGTGACGATATGCGAAGAGGAAGTGTACGCTTTGATGTCGATCGGTCAGAGATCGTTCTTCGTTCAGCCACTGACGAATGGCCAGCATGTGATGTTCCAGCCGAAAAACGAAAGGTGGCGGTCGATCAGGGATGATTCGAGCTTCGTGTCTGTGAATCCGGAAAATCCTGCAGGTGAGAAGGATCGTTATCGCGATGGCTTTTCATCTTTCATCGTTGGGCGATTGGATGTAGGTGGTTGGTCGATCGATTTACCCACTTCCTTGCCGATTATGTTATAAGCTTCTTACTTTGCGATCCGTCGTTAATTGGTTCTTCTATTCTAAACTTGACTCTGATCGTGATACTGTAAGAACTGATAGCGTCGATGTGATAATACCATATATAAAGTGTGACGGTAATCGTAGTACAAACGAATATATATATATGCGTGTAAAAATTACAAATGCATACAGGGCGTGACAAATTTAAACCGTCAAACACGGAGGGCTTAATCTGCAGGCAAAAAGAAGAAAAAGAGATAATCATTTACAGAGCGAACGTTCATTAGCTGATTTCAATTTGAGATATATCGCCAAAGTCAAAGTCAGTTCGAACAAACGTTTCGTTCGTACCCGTTACCGTTGTTCGGCTCTGCCTTCCGTGACATTCTACGGAAGACTTTGCTTCAATTTACGTTACGATTACGCTTCATTCTGGCATGGACGAACGTCTCGGACGTTGGTGTCCGTACATTTATATATGCCGACCTAACGCATTTCGGATACTCATTCTCAACTCGCACAGGGAAGAAAAATCAACGAGGCTACCGTGAATTAAATTCACGTATCGAATAACAGAATAGATACGACTCGTACGAAGCTTTGCGTCGTCGTAGGTCGTTCGAGGTAGGGAAAGCTTTAGCCGTGATATCGAGAAAAGCGAAACCGCTCGATCATCGAAATCATCGCTGTCGTCGAAACAGAAATTTCTGCGTATATCGCGGAAACTAAAGCAGAGCGACGGTAAAGCGTATTACGGGAAAAAATTGTTCGGAATATTGGCCTTGGCAAACGTATTTGAAAGCCGTTGAATACCACGAGATCGTCCGCTTTGTAAATATTTACCGAAAAATATGTGGCACGATGCTGATCGATAAACGCGTTTTTCCACAGTTACAAACAAATATCGTATGTATGAAAGAAGTAACGACGAATTTTCCATTCCACGGCACGCGACAATCCACCGTATTATCAGCGTTTCGTCAGAGTTTCAAGAGCTGCGTTTTCTTTTCTGTATTTACGGTTTCGCAACTGTAAGACGGAAGGTTTGTTCTGGAGATGCGAGTTCGCGTGAACAACTAGCGCAACGAGTAAAAACACGCGATTCTTGGAACTCGATCGAATCGTTGGGAACTGTGTGTACGAGATCGTATTAATTGCATGGTCGATCGATGTCAGGCTTCTATCCGAACACACGGACGATGTTCTCCAACGACCAATCAAAGATACTAGGTAATCATTTTTTATTGTATTATTATTGTAGCTATTAACGACACGGGCTCGTTGCCGCACGATAAAAAACATGCAACTGCGCTGACACGATAATACAGCGAACCTTTGCATGCTGCGATGGAAAACGCGTCGTTGTCTGTTAATATTCGTTCGTAACTCTGTAAAGAAAGGTCCGTTGACGAACATTATGTAAAGTTCTTCTTTCTTCTTCTTGTCTGTAAATCAATCCCTTACAATTTGGCGGTTTAAATTTGGGACACCCCGTATATACAGGATGCAACCGAACAACGTCTGAAAGCGAGAACAACGCGAATCCCTGTGGAAAAACGAAGTGAAAGTATAGGATAAAACGTTTTCATTTTCCACTTAGGGTCGCGGAAAATCGAGTCTGAAAATTTATCAAGTATACTCGAACTGTAACTTAATATCGGTTCGAACAATAAATTTATTTAATTATATAATTAATTTATTGCAAAGGAAATACAATCTGAATGTCGATATCAAGTGGAAACAAATTTTGCTAAATCGAAAATACATCGTAGCGTATCGTTTCCATGACTCGTCGTTTACGGATTAAAACGAATACGAGGAGCTAAATATCTGCGCTTATTAGTCAATTTTTATGGAAAGTTTCGTACGATGCGCGGATAAATTCTAATTTGATAAATTGTTGGAAACGCGGAAAATTGAATGCAATAGAATTACGCGGCACAGTCTACACGGTTGCAACTTTATGACCCACTTGGATCAAGTTGCAATGAAATTTATTGCATATATCGGAAATTCGAGGCACGTAACTGGCAGTTTATAAACAAATTATTTGTTTTCACAATTAAATTCGCCGCGTCGAAAGCTGTGAAACGTCTTTGTATCGAAATCGAAGAATCTGACGTCGCGATCGCGATGAATTGAAGAATGCGACGTAAACGTGCGAAATATGGTTGAGAAACGATAGAAAATTCCAAGTATTACGCTGTATTTCTCGTTCGATTTAAATCGAAATTTTAATGAGAAACAGCGCCGATTGGTATTTAAAAGTAAAACGGTTACGAGTAACGAGTAACGGGTTTTGTTAAAAGCAATCGGTCTATTTACTTCGCCGTTTAAACGAGTTTGTTTGACGTTACTTTGATCAATTTTCATTGACACTTTTATAGATAGCATTCTTTTTTACGGATGGAAAGCTGGCTGCTTTACGATACCGTGGAATATTTGTCTGGAATGTCCGTCGTAAAATTGCATTTTCGCGGGGAAAGGAAAACAATGGAATTTTTTTTACAAAAATGCAATACTTTAATTACCGTAAAATTTCATTTTTCCCACTGGGAAATTCAATTTGCTATTAAAGCGTAACACGTTTAATCACCGGTGGTGTAAATTCAACGAACTAACGACTCGAACTTGTCACAATTTTGCGACACCATATGTTGTTGATACGTTGCAGTATCGTGGTATTTGCAATTTCGGAAATTTTGCAACTATTTTTTCCATTTTATCCGTAACGAGATCAGCGACGAGTCTTGAGAAATATGCCGTAACTGGAGGGAAGATAAAACAGGCAAACGTGGTAAAACGTTGATAATTCGGTTACAGGGAAATCGAATAAATTTGGAGTTAGAGAAAGTAAGAGAAAGTCGAAACGAAGGAAACGCGATTCCTTAAGCCACGATGTTCAGGGATTTTATAATCTTTCCGGTGACGTCTTCGACGTGGAATACCCAGAAGCTGAGAAATTGATTCTGTACGATGAAAAAGACGATGTCCCCACAGAATACAACGATACGATAGTGGAAGAATTATCGATCGACGTAAATCCCGAGGAAATTGGATACTTTTCTGGTCCTAAATGGCAAAGGAACAGATTATCAAGTAAGGCAAATATTTTTTCAAATGCTATTCTTGTGCTATCGTTGCTTTTCTACTTACCACCTGTAATATAGCGGCTAATAAATTAACGAAATATCGAATATTACTGAAAGAAAGAAATTAAACTGATATTCCAATCTATCCTGTAGAAAAATAATAATAACAGCTTATAACATAAGAGTGGCTTATTTTACAATTAGCTTTACAATTATTCTCCCTGTTGCGTTCCACTCTCGCTTAATCTTCTACACGTCCATCTATATTTCGCTATTTATCATTTATTTTATTATTCCCTGTCTGTTACATATGCGTACAGAGTGGTTGGTAACTGGTGGCACAAGCGAAAAAAGAAGTCGAAAATATAGAATAAAAATTTTTCGTTCGAGGCTTCGTCTTCGAGAAAATCGACTTCGAATTTTCGCTCGGTACGCGCGCACTTTATCGCGTCTCGTTATAACGGATCTCACTGTAGATCGTTGTCTCGATTGACGTTATTTTTTTAATGTTTAACATTTTTAAATTGTTAAATTTTTATTCTATATTTTCGACTTCTTTTTTCGCTTGTGCCACCAGTTACCAACCACTCTGTACGCATATGTAACAGACAGGGAATAATAAAATAAATGATAAATAGCGAAATATAGATGGACCATTGCACGAATCTTTGTCTATCTTGCCTAGTTTACTGTAAAAAAATAGAGAAATAGAACAATTTACCAAAATTTGTAAAGAACTTTAACGAAATTTGCAGGATGAAATTCACGGTGATATCGAATTGATATTTTTGAAATTGTACTTTTGAAATAATTATTCTTAATTATAATTATACTTTTAATACTTGAATATAAATAAACATATAATATATATAATATATATAAACATTACATAATATATTTTTATATTTTTATATAATATATATAGATATAAATAAATTTTTCTATAAATATAAATTTAAATATAAATATAAATTTAAATTTAAATATAAATATAAATATAAATTTAAATTTAAATTTAAATATAAATTTAAAAATAAATATAAATATAAATGTTATAAATATAAATTTTTTATAAATATAAATAATTTTTTTTTATACTTACAAATAATTATACTTTTAATAATCATGCGTTTAAGCTATCAACGAGATTTTCTAATTTCGCCGGAAATAAGTCGATTAGTACTTTTCTAGAGAAAAGACCAGCAGCTAGGGATTCGCCGCCACGATGGCTAGAGCTTGGAATAGCTGCTGATTATTCCGTGGTAGATTTTCATGGAATTCGAGTACAGCAATATATCTTGGCTCTTTTAAACATCGTAAGTAATATCAAACGTAATTCTGCTACTATACTTAGATATAGAATACCTTCTCGTACATACGTACGCAAGCAACTGGAAAACATTGAGCAGAGTTACGCGTATCTTTGTATTTTTAAGGTACGCTACTTGCTTTCAAACATCTCGATCGTGTACTCGGATGGAAGCTCTGTATTTTCTGTTTACAATGTTCAAAGCTTACACGCATTTTCGAAAAAGTTTAGCGAATAATTTATCCTAATGGAATTTTGTAATCGATTAATTTCAGCGATTCAGTGAGTGATTTTCCAATAAAAAATAAGAAAATTATATAAGATGCGTCGTATTTACGAGAGTTTTGAATAATAATTTATTCGTAAGAGTGCAAATACTGTTTTAACGCCTGTTACATTTTCGTACGTATTTTAATCCTAGGTGAGTGCAATTTACATGGACCCATCGCTCGAGTCCAACATGATTCTAGTGATCGTACGAATGATTTTATACGCGGAAAAACGAGACGGTATGGTAAGCGATTTCCATTAAATTGAATCATTTCGATAAAATAGTAACTATCTGAGATACGCATATGCCAGTGTCAATTGCTTTATTTTCTACTTATCTGTACAGTATAGTATCTAAATTATATAGGTCAAAATATCTGCGCATGACGTTTTAGGTCGATAAAATGCGACGAGTTCCATTTCGTTAAATCGGACAACCGCGAACGATCCCTTGGAAACAAATTTCCAAATAAACAATCTTCACGAATTATTGACAAACATCGCATTTACCGTGTATCCAAAATATCTGTGTAATCGGCTATTAAACCTTTTTCGTCTCTTAAGAATCTTAATTTAACGTTACAGACCTACGATAATACCATAGCGACGTATTACTATACGACACTTGCGATTCTTTTTTCTTTTTTCTTTTTCTGCTATTCTTCTCTCGTATCGAATCCACCCTGTTGTCAACTTTATCGAACGTTTCGATTGAAAAAGTTACGCTGCCGCGAACTTTCGACATTTTTCAGCAAGATTAAAATACTAATAGCGTCACGAGTTACATTTGATTACTATCAACAACACGATCACTTGCATATGTATTTATTATCTTTGACAAATATTTGTATATAATATATAATACGTGATATAATAATAGATATAATATATTCGTAATGTTTGCTAGTTTTTACGAAAAAAATATTAAACGTTGTCGTAGGTCCGCCGTGGCGATGCCAGACGATCTCTCGAGAACGTGAACAAATGGAACAGAAAGATGCTGTCTTCGAAGGACGTAAATCACGATGTTGCGGTATGGTTGACGCGGTTAGATATAGGAGGTCCTTCCGGTTACGCACCTGTGTCAGGAGTATGCGATCCCGCGAGATCGTGCGCGTTAAATCGAGACGAAGGCTTAACCAGCGCCTTTATCATCGCTCACGAAGTAGCACACATGTGAGTGTGCCACATGTTGGGATATCGTTGGCAAACTGAAATATTTACAACTGGCCTGAGTATTTATGCAGAGACCGCGTACTGCGCGTATTTATGCAAATACGTATTTTTACGAGGATGATTTCAAAAACGAAATCTGGGTAGAAAAACCTATTATCTTAACCGAATATTACAACGAGTACCGTACCTTGAATCTGCCATAGATCTTTGCGTATTATGTGCGTTCTTGCAGCTTTGCAATTCCTATCTGTTTGTAACATAAATTTCTTCTAGATCCTCTTGTTTTGTTTTTACTTTTAATTTATTTTTTCAGACAAAAGCGATACTGTATTTATATATTTATATTTAGCATTAGCACGTTCTTATTGCGATTATACTTATTCGCTACACAGAGGATGTAGAAAAATCGTAGTAAACTCACGGTATAGAGGAATTCGATACCTCCGGATCGACGGAGATCGGTTAAATAAAGCGGAATGTAAAGTTGACCTTGACCCTGTTTCTCAACGTCAAATTTCTTTTTATCGCATCGTACGGTACTCGTGGCGAGTGTTGACTTTGCGAAAGAAACCGTGGCTCGCAACTCGACCGTCCTCGTAGGAAATAATATTACAAGGTTCCATTAGCTGTCGCATAAATGCCATACACGACATGCTCGTATTTTTCGCATTCAAATCGAAAGTAAATGGCGCGATACGAATAACGAAACGGGAAATTAAAGGAACCAAAGAGAAGGAAGCATCCAACTTTGCAATCTCGAAATATTAGAAAATCGCTTACCGTATGAAAAAACCTTCCCAGAGCGAGGAGGTTTCCATGTTACTAGATTTTCTTCTTTCTTTTTTCTTTCGCAAATGAACGCGCGGAGAGCGTACGAGAGCGAAGAACGCGTTTCTTCCGAACAGAATCGCGTTTCTTCGCGCGTTGGTCGATGTAACCTACGTTGTTCCACGTAAGAAACGTACAAAGTTGATCGTGCGAAAAAGAAAGAAGCGATCGAAAACGAGATAACGAGGACAACGAACGCTTTGTGACGGTTTTTTCGCGCAAAACTACCAAGAGAGCCGCTTTTGCGTAATCCCCGACAAACGCCAACAAGATTATTTCTTTGTCCGCTTCGACAACGACACAAACGTGTTTCCCGTAGTCTAGGTTTGACTCACGACGGAGACGAAACGACCGGAAACGCGTGCAAGGAAGAGGGATCTCGAGGAAGCGTAATGGCACCGATGGTCGCTGCCACGTTCCATCATTTTTATTGGTCCGCGTGCTCAAAAAAGGAGTTCCATCGTAGAGTGAGGTAAGAATGCTCGCTCTACGCAAGAATATCCTTCTTAGAATTACGTACTCCTAAAATAGGTACTTGCAGACGGTGGTCCTGTTTGTCGAATAAGCCGAAGCACGATGGCCTCTCCCAACTGAGAGACACCATTCGCGAGACGTTCACGATGGACGAGCAATGTCGCATGGAATTCGGCGAAGGGTACGTTTCATACGCGAATTTTCGTTGCTCGTTTCTATCCGATCATCGTTTCGATAACGAGTTTTCCATCGAATTCAGCTACGAGCACTGCAAGACCTTCGACGTGGCAGAACCGTGTTCTCGTCTGTGGTGCGGTAACAGTAACGTGTCCGAAAGTTGCAAGACTAAGAAGGGACCGCCTCTGGAGGGCACATTATGCGGTGACTCGAAGGTAAATCGACAGCAGGTAGTTTAGCTTAGTTACTAATAATTACGTGTATACGTTTTACATTTATAAAAAAGATTTGCAGACGAGAAGACGCACAGGATGCCGAAATAACGATAAATAATAATGGAACCGTTAAGGTAAAGAAAGGATTCGCAAATACAAATCGTTTACTTTATTTCGCACACAACAGCTATACAATATATCTTACACTCTGAAGACCTCGACAACCTTCTTGCACGCACGCTTGTTCTCAACCGACTCTTCCACATTCTTCTAACATCTGGCGACGGTCTTTTGTCTCGACTAAGACCTGGACGTCCCCTAACGCTTACACACACATTCACGAGTACAGTGCCAATGTATCATCTACCCAACAGGAACGATTGTTTATCTAGAGTCCACTTTTTAAGTCGTATTCGTAGAGATACGATATCTGCGGTCTACTGATGAATGATGAGTATAATGAAAACGAAATGAACGATTAGCACGGTTTAATCAACGCGTTTATAACTGTCGCATTAATCAAAAATATCTGTCGCGATGGATCCTTCGTTGCACCTCTCACTGCGGACGCGTTAAAGAGTTATCTCGCAAGGAAACAATTTTTTTAATTAATTACGATAATTAGTAGGGAATAAGTAACGTACCATGGTAGACACGATTAGTACGTTATCACGTATCAATGCACGTTATATACAGTACAGTCTACATATTTCAGTGGTGTATAAACGGTCGATGTCAGTCGACGAATAGAAAGAGCTTCGATTTTGGTATAATACTAAATAAACCGAGAGACGGAGGTTGGAGCGCTTGGAGCGGCTGGGAGAAATGTTCGAGGACTTGCGGAGTAGGAGTGCAGTGTCGAACGCGAAAATGCAATAAACCTTTGTTAGTATTCGGATTACCTAATATAGCGACGCTTGTAATTCAAGTTCTCTCGAATCGTTTCAAAATTCAGTGGCAAATGAGAAACGCGTTAATTATTCGTTAATTCCCTGACGAATAATCGCTCGTTTTTTTAACAATGGATGTGCGATGGACGTGAATGGTACGCTACAAACGGAATCTTTACAAAAACGATTAAAATTCGATTCGAAGAAAAATTGAAACTCAAGATAAAACGACGGCGAGAATGTCTCGGTATTTTATCGGAACGAAGGGAAGAATTTTGAAACGAATATTGTAGAAAACGTTCGTGTCTCGACTATTGAAGGCAGCTTTCTTGTTCAAAGGCCTGCTTACGGCGGGAAATATTGTTCAGGTCCCAGCGATGATTGCAGACTTTGCGACCTACCGAAGTGTTTAACTCCCGTCGACCTCAGAGCTCAACAGTGCACCAAACTCGGTAATATTTTATATCTGGAAAGAGTTCGATCCAACAACGACGTGACCTGGCTGCCGTACGTGTCCGATCAGGAGAATTTGAGATGTCGATTGATCTGCAAAAGCAAAGAGACAGGCGAGATATTTCACACCAGGAAGCATTTGATCGATGGCACGCCATGCTCCTACGGATCCACGAATATATGTATACAGGTAAAGTGAAACGTTCCGTAACAAGATTGAAAGTACGGTAAAACTCAATTTGTCGGAACTCGTCGGAATACAAACAGTTTACGTACAGTTACTCGAATATTCGGACACGGTATTTTATCTCTGTATCTGTTGCTTCCATTTGAATACGAATCGTTCATTGTCAGATTTCTTTGCGCGTTTCTTCTCCCTTCTCTGCTAAATCTACCATTTATTTGATCGCAGATTTTCAACGACGAATACGGTCTGCTCCTTTCTGCTTTATAGAGGATCGCAATTATCATTATCTATAACAATCGTATAACGATTAATAGCAGATATCATACAACGTATTAACGCTAATAACCAGTCAATTTCACGAGAGCTTTTCTCCACGACGAATGACAAATTGTCCTTTGTCAGACCTATGATATCCTCCCCTTTTTTCCTATCACTTCGATCGTACAAGGTAACGGTTCAAATTAACAGCATCTCCTCGCGCTTTCCATACGCGTATCATTCGACGCATTGCGCGTTATTCTTCAAACTTGTACGTTAGAGGAGTCGCGCATGTTTGTAATATCTTCGCATGGACGAACGTACTTGAGAATAATCCGCTGCTGTCAAAACTGTCGATAAAGATACAAAGTAATTTTTCCAGCGACGGAATGGCACGCTCTATCGCAGAAACTAAGCTGTATCAAGGAGTTTAAGTATATCCTGCGATGTTGAAGGTTCGTGCTTCGAAAATGTTTGTAATACGTAGACGCGAAGTGTGCTTCCACGAAGCAAGGATCAGCTCGGCATGCTCGGTATTTCAATTATGTAAATCCCCGTATCCTTCAACATATTCAAACACACAGATCGTCAAAACGCATCAAGAATTATATTCGCGTAGCAGCAACGCGATTTGCTGAAAACCAGGCGAGAAATTCAACGATCGGCTATTAATATTTATGGTCTATATGGGTATTAACGTTCGCATTTCCCACGAGTTTTCCCGACAACTATTTTAACTTTGAGGGAATAAAAATCTACCTTCGATGCTACCGACTTGATTGGAACGAGCCTTTATCCGGTGAAACGATGGCTTCGAGAAACACGACCTTTGGTATTTAACAACCATCGTCTCAATGCGCATACGACTTTCTCGTTCGATGTATCCAACAGTCCGAAAAGTTTCCTTCGTTTTACGAGGAAATAACGTTCGTCGTTTTATATTATTCTATCCAACTGTGTACGATCCACTTTGTAGCGATGCGACAAATACGCATACATAATTCATACGTATCGATTCCATGCAATATTCACGTTGGATACGTAACTCGATAAACCAATACGAAAGAAGAAATTGCAAAACGAAAGAAACTTTCCGCACAACATGATACGCACAGTCGAATCACATCTGCGCTACTTGGCACTCGATTTCAACGAAAGATCCGAGATCGACTTAACACGACGGTATATTTTCCCTTTTCTACCGGCTCGACCATTTCAGTCGTCCAAATCGAATCTTCCAACGAATGAATTTTATTCCGATCGATATTTACCTGTGGCAAGCGTCCGTGAAAAATGATAAACAACGAGAAATGTTCGTACATATCGAAGAAGAAACTGCACTTGCGGAAAAGACGGGAACACGTTTCTCTCTCTGTCTCTCTGCGACTTCGACGAAAGAGAAAACGTTTCCTGGATCGACCCGCGTGTCCAAGTTCCTCCTTGTTCTAATTGTTACTGATGAAAAATGAAATTTCTTCGGCAGGGTGAGTGCCATCGGATGGGATGCGACCGTGTGTTAGGGTCGAAGAAAGCGTTGGACACGTGTGGAGTGTGCGATGGTGACAATTCGAGCTGCGAGAATATCGTCAACAAGTTTCAGCGGAAGCTTCGACGAGGTCAGTCCAGTCACCGTTCAAATTGAGTTGTTGCAAGTGGCGATGAAGTTTCCGTCAAAGTCGGACAGTCGAGCAAGCGGAGAGGGACGCGACGTCCTTAATTAGTTTAACAGGAGAGGAACGGCGAGAGCGGAGCGATTAGTTGCTAGTTCAATTCGCCCGGAGCAACGAAACTCCTGCGCGTCTTCGTTTTTGATTTAAATCCTCTGACGCGCAACAACGAGACGAGTCGATTAATCGCCAAGCAAACTCTATATCGACTTATCGCGTATATTTATCAGCGTTTAGTTATTGTTTCGACATGCTACACAATGATCCTTGGAGTACGAATTTCAACGACAGCTTTTGATATTCGTTCGGTTCACGAGGAAACGTTTTTAAGTAAAAGTCAAACGCGTTAGGAACGTGGTCTTTTCGTTTAGGGAAATCCGATCGAATGGAAAAGTAGAAATTTACTTTGAAACGCGAGACTCGTTAACGCGCGAGAAACGATACGCGATCGTTCTCAATTGTAAAATTGCTTCTCGAACGTTGTTGAAGAATAATATCTACAAATCCGTTTAATATCCGCGAACGGTGTAAAAAAATTGTTACGGGGCAGGATAGTTCTCTGTCGATTCTACGATCAATAATTTGTTCGTTATTACATCTTTTTATTATTACGATTAATCCTTATCCGCTTCGTGATTCTTTCAGAGGTGACACGCGTCGCTGTGATACCACGCGACGCTCACAATTTGAACATGAACATCTCGATGGCTGGCTCTCGACTTTTCCAATCGGATGATTTAACGATCGTGATAGGAGACGGTAGGAGAAGACGCAACGTACAGGAGAATCTAGCTTCTCGTAAACGAGATTTAACGATCGTACAAGGTGCTGCTTTTCGCGTTCACAGACGCGGTAATAACACGTATTTTATACAGGCGGATGGTACCGCGTTCGAAGATGTCGTGGTTTTGGTAAGAGATAAACCTTTGATATTTTATTCTCACGAATCAAACTTTCTTTACCGATTATCATAATACAGAGGAAAAGTAAAATATCCAAAATCCTTAATGTAATCCTCAATGATATTCATATCGCGAGAGATAGATCTCTATGCGATATTATAATATGATATAGAGCATGAAAAGAAATTACATAATTTCTAGACAAACAAAGATATGAGATAGTTTACGTGACAAATCCACGATCCATAATTACGATATATTGGATTATTCGATTCGTATGTGAACGTACGTTGATTCCTCAGGCTTTAACGATATCGACGATTTTACTTCTTGCAGGTGGTGGTGCCGAGAAACGTACTACAACGAGGAATCTCGACCTCAGTTTCGTTGGAATATTCGCTAAATCGCGATGAGAGGAATGCAAAGGATAGATACGTATGGCTGTTCGGAGGTTGGAGCTTCTGCTCGGTCAGCTGTGGCGGTGGTACGCGTCAGAAGATGATAGTCTGCAAAGACGAGGAAACCGGAAGAATAGTGTCGCGAAGAAAATGTCCACTGACAACCAAACCGATTCAAGAGATAGAGAAATGCAACGTTTTTAGGTATCATGTATATACAGTTTGTAGATTAGGGTTGTACGTTCGTGGAGGAACAAGAAAAAGATCAGCTTCGTATTTATTTATATCGGCACTTTTGTTATTTTATTAACGCTAACGCGCGTTTCCATGCTCGTCATACGTATGATACGTGCGGGCAAAAAGTTGACCAGCAATTTGTCTGATTTATTACAGTTGTACTTTCAAATGGCTACCAGGTCCGTGGGAAGCGTGTTCAACTACGTGTGGAAGGTTTGGTACGCAATTACGACAACTTTACTGCGTTCGTTCGGGGTTTAATGGTACAGAGGTAAATAGAAACAACGAATTGGAAGTGTATCGAACGATGGTACAGCCATCGATATGCGAAACCAGCCCTATGCCTATGAGCAGCAGAGAATGCAATAGGATACCGTGTCCTGGACATTGGATATTTACGAATTGGTCCTCGGTGAGAAATTACAGTCTGATATCTACTTTCAAGGTAGATAGTATTAAGAGGATGTTGAAAGAAATAGGATGCAACAGTCGTAGAGCTTATAGCGCTAAACAGGAACAATCAGGAAATGGTTTATTGACATAGATATTAAAATCAATTCCTCGTGAACATTCGTTAATATGTTTAAAGTAAATTAAAGTTAATTCGTTTAAAGTAAAGAAGGGATACAAAGCTCAACCTGCGATTTCAAAAGTATGCGGAATATTTACAGATACAAAAACAAAATGATAGATGAAACAATATACTAAGTTTCACATTTTGTAGATTATATGTATTTACAGAAATATATTTACAGTGAAGAGAGTATAAAAAGTAGAAGCTCGGTAGATAATTGTTTTACTTAGCAAGCGTTACAGACGGCTGTTGTACTTTCTTCAACATTTTGGCAATTTTTAATTTTCTGTATGAGCGTAGAAATCCGCAGTGTGCTAATAACGCGCTATAGCGGCCAATTATAGCGAAGGATGAAAAGAAAAGAATTTATTTTAGAATATTTGAAATTTCGAACGGTATTCGAGCATCGTATTTTCTTTTTACAGTGCTCGAAGAACAACGGAAAGGATATACAATCGCGAATAGGCCGTTGCATTCCTCCGGAAAACGAGTCGTTTTACAGGTGCGACGGGCCAACCGTAAAGACGGAAATACGTTCTTGTACGGAGCACGTGACCAGGGCCATCGAATTTCCATCCCGTTGCTGGAGAGACAAGAATCGATTTTGCTCTATACCAAGTTTGAAACGTTACTGCGACGTGCCGGCATTTAAACGAAAATGCTGCCGCTCTTGTGAAAGGAACGAAACCTTGGATCTGTCCAACTCTTTCGATCGGAAGCACCGTATACTGCAAACTTAAATTGCATTTAAAAAGTTCGAAATGAAACGTTTGACACGTTTATTGCTATTTGTGATAAATTGAATTCGTAGAAAGTCGTAATAAACGAAGCAACGAAAATTGGCATTGAAAGCTATTAAAAACATAGAACAAATTGTATTTATACCGTGTAAAATTTCTAACAAGTTTCTAAGAAACTTTATATTTGTGTTGTGTTACATCCGTTAGTGTATCATAAGAATCGTAAATATGAAACCATCTTTTCTTTAATTAAATTTTCGATTCTGTACTTCTCGTACTTACTTCGACAGAAAAATCATTACTATTACTGTCAGAAAAGAAATAGAAATAGAATCGGTATGTTCTAGATACTAGAATATGTCGATATATGTATTATTTTTATGATATATTTTATATTATATATTTAAAGATAATTTATTTTTATTTTAAAGTATAAAGGATTTGACAAAACTGCCGATTACGGATAAATTTTGGCCGCTACGATTCAATATCTTTAAAAGATTAAGATATGAATTCTTTAGGAAAATACAAAGTGTTAATGAATCCTGTAGCTAATAATTCTGCCATTAAACGTTACGTTAAACGTTAAATATCATCCTTCCCCTCCTAATGCAGTAAAAATTGTGGTATACATAAAATTGTATCACATACATATGTACTATAATTATAAAAACCAAAATTTAATTTTTGAAGATGGTTTTATACCTTCGGTAATTATTGTATTTCGATACATATCTTTAGGAGATTATATCTTGTGTAATCTTCTATTAGGATATTAATATTTATTTATTATATATATCTTGTAGAATATATAAACAGTGATGTGAGAAAAATATTCACGAAAATTTGTTTAGTGTTTATCTATAATCGTTTATTTAATAATTTAGCTTAATGTATTATCTAAAATAATATAGCTCGTTAAAAAATTTGCAGTTTGAAAATGTGAACAATGTAAATTCTCGTTGCTTAAGTTATTAATTTTAAGTTATTAATATGTTTGAACTTCAATTCTCAATAAATGTCAGAAATATCACAAAATGATATATACAGTTAAAAATGATAATTCTAGTTATGTGGAAAAAAAATTTTAATAAAAAATCAAAATTGGTAATACACTCATAAAAATGAAACATATACACATATATGTGTATTAACGCTGTACGTCCCGAAGGTACTAAAACGTGAGGATTTTCGTAGGTAATTTTATGACACACTGAATAAACAGGTCGTAGCATTAAATAAAACAATTTCATACTTAATATTTAATAAACATTTCATATGTAATAAACTTTTAGAGTTGCAGTAAAAGATGTGTTATGTACTCCGTATACAAGTCATTCGTATTAATAAATTCTGATTTCATGGTTAAATTATTATAAAATATTATTCTGAATGTAGAAAATACAAATTATACAATATAAAAACTCTAAAACTATGTATGTGCACGTTTTATATTACATCAACTCAATTTTATTTTGAGTACTCCCTGAACAAAGAAATTTTTTACATGTGAATTATATATGTATATATATTCAAATAATTTATTAACTTTCGTGTAAAATAGAAGAAAACTGTTAGTTTTTCTTAAAATCTAAGGCTTTAATAAAAAGAGAGTATATTAGTAATATGTATATATTCAATAAAATAAAAAATTTAATTATAATAAAAAACGAGCAATTTTATTCAAAATAAATATACTTTGTTTTCTCAATAAGTATAAAGATAGGAATGGTTTATTAGTGCAAGTACACGGTTACATGTACTATTACACAAAAAAGAGATAAAAGGTGTAATAAATACTCTCAGATCATCAACTTGGTAATTACTATAGAACATAACCTAAAGTGTTGAATTTGGTTCTCTGGATTATAACTTATTACTTCGAATTTGCATATACGGTTAATTGTTGAATGATAATATGGAAATATGTTTAAAACACTAAGTATTTTTAACGCTCTATGTTACAAAGTTATAAATTTTTGTGTTTTACTGATAGTTTTCTCTTAATCTAATTTAAAAACTACATTATTGCTATAAATAAGTAAAATTGTGTAAAATTTAAATTACTATCCTTACATTTCTACCCTTTCCACGTTTGTAAACAAATTTCAGTACATACATGATGGAAATAGTTTTAATTACATGCAGAACAGCTTTGCAATCTTGACGAGTGTTATACCCATCAACAACTTTTTATTGGAATTGGTTAAAACATGAAAATTAAAAGTTAAAGAGTTTCGTTATTGTAGCGGGGTTTTCAATTCCTTTCCAATACGATTATTCCTCTTCTTGAAAAATAAATAGAGTATAGAGATATTTGAAAAAGTATTAATTGTATAACAAATATTTGCTTAATCTGTTTATAAAAGTCTATGCTGGGTCTAAAGTCGAATATTACAATATTCTTGAAAGATTTTAAAACTGTTGATATATTCATTTAATAAATATGAATTAAATAAATGTACGAAATGGTTCTTATTCCATTATTGGGGATACATTTTCAAAATAGCAACACAGATTTCTATTGGATCTGTTTCAAATGGATGAATTAGCATAGCAGTTCTCACGTGTTCTTCGGGAAAGATATTTGCCAAATGGTAATGTATTTTTGTTCTGGTATCGAGAAAATCCCTTAACATATCCGTAGGCATAGCCGAATACAAGGGAGATGTAGGGACATTTAACTGTGAATCTGAAGCACCCAGCCGTTGACTCGATCCTGATGGTACAGCCAAGTTTGAATTATTTGATAACCAAGCTTGGTAAGAATCAGGCGCCGAAGCAATACGTGTTACGTGTTGATGACACTGCCCTCCTTCAGAACGATCCCAACTAAACAATTAAATACTTGTTTAATTAATTACGATTGTAAAAAAATTTGTCTTGTTCGTCATTCCCGCTTAATTATTATGGCATTTAATATTATGATATTGAATCTTACAATCTTACAATCAAAAAATTATAATATAAGAATCGTAGAGAAAATAAGAACTCACTTCATGCCAGCTCTGTAGGCTGATTCGTTACTAGAATGTCTACTTAAGGCTCTGTGCTGTGCTGTAGAAGATGTTATCGCAGTTTGTTGCGATAATGAACTTGTTTGAGACGCTTGCTGGTATTGTCTCAGCTGGTGAAGTCGAGGATCGTACACTGGATTTAAAGTTAACTGCCTCTGCAGTTTCTTATGTATATTTGGTGGCTCTGCTTCTGGTTTATTCAATCTTCCTGTCGATCGACAGGAAGAACGATAACCTATTATTAATAAAAATTAGTTTGTTTTAGTAGAAGCAAATAAGAATAATATAAATATTATTTATTTTGCATTAAAATAAATACGTTAGTGAAAATCCTAATACCTTGAGAACTTGTGGTAGGTGGCACTTGTAAACCATGTATCGTGGAATTCATTGGTTGATCAAGCGTGACATTTTCTGCAGATCTGCTTTTTGTAACCGAAGGTAATGGTTGGATACTGGTAGTTACCGTTGATTTGGTTTTACAAAGCGGTTGATGTTGAAACGCATTGGTCGATATATTGCTGGATAAAAATACATTTGGACTTGAACCTCTTACTTGAAGCTGCTTTTGTACATGTTCCACTAACTTCTCTGTAACTGATTTTTGAGGATGAAGACCTCTTTCTGGATGTCGAAATTTACACTTATTTCCATAAGTGCATTTCTGCAATGAGAAAAATTATTTTTGATTAATATTATCTCACTTTCTTGATTATTTCTTGGTTGTTTCTAATAAATTCTTCAAATACTTACAGAATTAGTTATTGTTTAAATAATTTGATAAAATCTAGGCAATATTTGACATACCTTCGCGTATGGACAAGGTGGTGCTGGATCAGATTTTTTGGGAAAAGTTCTCAAAAAATTGTCTAAAGTGGGACCGCTTCTACCTAGTGGATCGTCTGGTGGCATAAAGCGATCATTTACGAAAGTATACATCAAAATTCTTTCTTCCACAACTTTTCGAAATTCCGGATTTTCCTGTGCCAAATCTCTGTAATTATCATTGCTGACAACAATACCATCGATTTCCGCTGCTAGTTTCAAAATATAGCGATCATCGTAACAAACCATTCTTTTCCCACCAACTAATCTAAAATAGACAATTAAGAACTATTTTAAAGTAATAAGGATTTACAATCATTTCTTACATAATTACTGTTACTATTGACAGTCAATAATAATATATATTAATACTTTCGATGCGTCTTCATATTAAATGCTGCCTTTTAAGTCCTTAATACTTAAATAATTATATTGTATTAAATACTTATCTATTTAGAGATATATTAAATAGCAAAAACACAACGCATAATGTTAAATAATGGAAATACTTTGTAAGAATTGATAAGTTGGTCTTTCTCAAGTTGAATTTTATTAAAATAGAGTTTTATTTAGAAAGTTATTTATTATGAAATGGCCGGATGTATCGTTAGATTCGAGGATCGCTGTCGCTTAGGCTGACCTAGATTTGTTTTCCGCAGAGACAAACTATTTTTAAGTATTAATAGTAACTTTTATAGATATTAATAATTAATAACTTTTAAATATTAATAAATAACGCTTTAAATTTGTATTCTTCATTATACTTATTATAGTCTCATTTTAGTTTGAAGAAACCAGTTAAATTTTGTACCATCTATTACTGAATACCCTATATATCTAATAGCAGCTATTTGTTAAACTATTTTCTTTCACATAATATGCCGTGATACTCAAATATTAGCTGAAATTGATCCTAAAACACTTTTATATATCATCGTACATTATTCGTACATTACAGGCATTAATTAACTGATTCATACATTGATATACAAACCTGGATGGAGTAAAAACCAACAAACGGTCCCTTTCCAATTCTCCCAAAATTTCTTGGTCGGCGATCGGATTATCAATCCTGGAAGTTTCCTTTCGCCACTTCGGCACAAATACGGTAATTTCTTTGTGCCCTCGAGCTTTAAACCAATCCACGCAAATTTTAATTCCTCTACAAGAAAATATTTCCTTGTTTCCATGACTCATCGCCACATTGCTTCCATCAATTACAACAGATCTGAGACTGCTAGAGCATCCGCTGTTTTCATTGGACATTAAATCAGTGTCCGCGACGTTATCAGGCTCCTCTGGCGTATCAACTGACTTTTGAGAACAGCTAGCACCGAGTTTTATCAACTCAGCCAAAAGTTCGTTTTGTTCCGGATCTGGACCCAATTTTTCCAGCGCTGTTTGAACCAAACGTTCCGTGTAGCCAAGCTTAAGGGCGAATTCTACTCGGGCAGTGTACCCTAAAAAAAAAATAAATGTTTAACAATTTTAACAACATACGATAGTCTCTTGTACGAAGCTAGCGTTAAACGTGGCTTGATGACATGGCTATGTTAATCGCATTACGTTCAAATACATATGAAAAAAAGACAATTTGGGAAGTTTAAACCGGGCTATAAGAAAATAGAAACAAACGCTACTTAGACAGTATCGGTGGATAAATTATGTCTTCGAGATGACCAAAGCAATGAAATTGTCGTGAAAATGAAGATCGTGAAGACTATAGCGGCGGAGTAGCAGTATCAAATGGCGGAGAGATAAAATGAATAAAGTTCACGAATATTATTGTCTTCCGCGATATTCAGTGCGCAACTAGAAGCTACATTTATAAATTCTTTTTTCAAATAATAGCTACTTATACACGGCTGTAATCTATGAGATTTAATGATAATACTATATTCAACCTTCACAGTAGTATGGTCTTTCGAATAGGAGACATATAACGTTAATGGAATACCACACAAAGATGATACAAAGTAAGCATACGATAAAACTATAGCTTAGAAAAGAAACGAAATCTATCGTTTGCCAACATCCGTAAAGGTACATATAATTGGAGAACATATAAGTGGAATCGTCCCAGGTACTTTAACTCGAACACTTAGGTATATGCAATGTGTATACACCCTAAGCTTAGTTAGATATTATTATCTATCAAAGGAAGGCCTATATTATTAATAACTATGATGAGCAAAAATTGGAATATTGCTAAGTACTTGCCTACGTGGAGATTAAACTATTAGCAGCTACTATCCCCTTATTAATAAAACAATGAACCAGAAATAAATACCATATATCTATTAATAACATAATAAATACAAAATAAAACGTTTAAAGAATTACTATTAATTGAAATTAAATGATTTAAGTGTATTCTAAAGAAGCCAAGCTTTAAAAAGCAAGTAAGATAAAAATGAATATCGTTTAAACGATAAGTCGAATAAATAATATAGTAAATATTAAGGTAGTATGTAAATATTTAAGTCTAAAGGAGATCTTGAAAAATAATGCGAAGAGAGGTATCAACGCACCTGACCAGAAAAGGATTAACAGATTAGTCAAAAGATTGATAGTTAGCAGGAGAACGTCTCATTTCTGTGAGTTGGAAGAATTGTGCTTTAAAATGGGTAATAAATAAAAGAAGCAGGTGAACGAGGACAAACTCACCGAGGAGAGTAGTAAGAAACCCGACCTCGAATAGACTCAAATATCTATGATGGCCTGTCACATAAAGAAGCTTAGGATCTTCGGTTGGAACACACGAAGCATCAGTGCCAGGAGAGGAGGAATTCCTAAAATGTTAGAGAAATTTGTGATAGGTATGTGCACGATGTCATGACAAAAGTTTAAAGATGATTTCGAAGTGCATGATTTCAAAACTGTACATCTAAGAGAGGTTTGAGGAGAAGCGATGATATTATTATTTTTCCAAGGGAAAGTATCAATTTAAGATTTTTAATAGATTAGCATACGTATACACAAACCTATAAACGATCTCCACGTAGGTAAGTAGAAAGCTTTTCGAAATAAATTTACGTTTATCTAGAATTTAATGATATTAAAGCTAATAATAATATTTTACACGAGATATCATTGTTAAATATTTAATAATAACAGTTGTTAAATTTATTGAATCGTTATTGTTAACAATACTGGTTACTGATAAAATACGAAATCTTTTTACATTTAGTTAGTTAAAGATAAATGATTTTTTCTTTAAAAAATCTTGTACCTGGACTCTGAACCGGTGGACTTCCTTGCACTGTAACATATTCTGCAAATTCAGCAGCCAACGTATCTGAGGCGGTCCGGGACACATCTGAATGACTTGACGTAGATACCTATAATTCGAAATGAAAGCTATTAATCGAGGACAATGAATCAGTGAAATTTTTCGTTTCATCTTCCTTTATCCGAATATCCTAATATTTAGCGAACTTTCTACTATCCGAATATTCTGTTAATCGAACAGGATATCTCCTAGTCGCAGATGCTCTTCTTCTTGTTAGGAGGAGTTTGTGAAAAAATCTTGTATTATAATTAAAATGCAAATGAAATAAAATATCGCACATAGGCACAAAATGTTCTTATTTAAATTCTTATATAATTAATTCTTATATAAAAGAAAATCCTTATATTTTCGATGAATATTTACATATAAAAAAAGTTCGTTTATTTATAGATTACGCGTCTTATACGAATAAATTATAATTTTGTAAAAAATTTGTTGCATTAATTTTACAAAGTCGAACAAATATTTTGGTTTCCTGGAACGTTTACAATGTTGTAAAATTTATAAATAAATTATTTTGCGATAGAACGCGCAATGAAATTATATCTCAAATGCGATAGAACGTGGAAAAATGATCTCCCGTGAGAAAATGCAAAATGTTTCTTCTCGCGCGCTTCTTCATTACGTCCGTGCATCAAATTTTTGATTAAAACCTGAATTTACAGATTGAGCAATCATTGCTGCAGCCACGACAATACAAGGATGTCATAAAAGTTCATAGATACCTGCAATTCCACTTGTGAATGAATATTCGTAGATCCCACTGAATCTTCAGCTTCGTAGTCGCTATCGTAAGAAGAATCTTCTGCGTCAGCAATACTTTCAGTTTCCAGGACGGTACAATCTACGTATTTCTGAAAGCAAAATTAAACAATCAAGTGGTCATCCGTATCGACAAAGATTTTGAGAACATACCGAATACATTTTATTTATGAAATTATAATTCACATATTACATTCCCCTTCTATCACATTTTCTAATTTATGACAATATTACTGAGCGCTACTGTTAGTCGGCTAACGATAATTAGCTGATCAACATATAATGCAAACGAAGGAAAATCCGTATTATCGAAATTTTAAATATCATTAAATCTTTAGGCGAAGCTAAATTTTTGAAAGAGCAAGTAAAACAAAATGCATTAGTCTTAACATTTGCGCAGTGATGGATTTATTCACGCACATTTTCACTTGATTCTACTAATTGCATCATTATGACTTTCTTCTGTTGACTCGTGGCACATAAAACTTCTTCGCACTAGCGACGAAGATAACGGACTTGGAATCAATTAAAAACGAAAGAAATAGTTTGAATGCAATTTATTTTTATTCTTCTACACTTTCATCTTTCTTCTAAAAATACACGAAGTAAATATTTATACACACTTAACACTATCGGATTAAAGATTCTTATCGTTAACGTTGCTACGTCTGAACGCATTAAACGTAGCTGTGTCCAAGAGGAAAATATTCAAAAAAGAAAACTTTCGCTCGAAAGACCCATTTATACTATATTCTTTTTTTAACATTTTTATTACCAACGGAAGATTTCGATAACGATAATTTTAGTAATTATCTCGAACACATCAGACAGATCGTCATTGCACATTCGTAGACTTATCTTTAGTAAGAATTGCATTTCGGTTCACATTAGGAATCTTGATCGTCGACACTAAATTGTATCTAAACAGACGTAGACGTGGTCACACCAGACTCACTCACGTGCGCATGTCTAATCTCAAGATCTAACCTACCAATCTACGATATCTGTCAATTTAGTTATTAGTTTACCGTCAAACATATCCTTTTACATTGCCCTAAACACAATTATTCTTGCAACGAATACCAGATCAAATGAACTTCAAGTGAAAATTTCTGTGATAAAAACCACGTTTCAAGCGTTTTCTTTTTCCTGAAAACAAATCGTTATTTAGCAAAATCCAACTAGTAAATATCTCTCTGTATTCACATTGTCGTCGCTGATAACCACTGTATAGAAAAAAATTTCTTTTTAATCTGATTTTCTATATCGAACGCGCAAATTGGTGGATATCATTAGAAAAATGTTAAACAAGAACTAATTTACGTTGGAAATGACATAGGGAGACGGGTGATAAACGGAAGTGTATTTCCTACGTCGATTAGCTTTCTATATTCTTACGTTTGGGATTAAGATATAACGTCTGATTTTAGCCACGGTTACAAAATTATTTAAGATAACGTGACATTTTGTTTGAGTTGTGCTGAGTGACTATTTATGTACATACGGTTGATACTATAATTGTGTTTCCTTCGAACTGCTTTTCTATTATTTTTCCAACCACCGGTATTTCTTAGCGTGCTTTAGTTCCAGTTAGCGCCACTATTACGTCTGCGGATGAAGGTTGGTTTAAATATCTCAAATTTTTAGCATTATAGTTTCAGTTAGAATGATACAATGTTTTTGTATCGTTAGCTATTCTAACCTTACGAATCTTTATCTTCGCGAATTTGTTGGAGCCACGTATTTATTTTAAATTATGCGCGGCAAAGACAATTGGAGGCGTTTCTTTCTTAAACTTTTTAATAGATATATCTCCTACTATCTCTACGACCGTCGATTTACCCGGTGATAAAAAGATGAGCTAATCTTTTTTCAAATAATTTTTATCGATTGAGAAGTTTTCTTACATATGCAGATCTTTGTTCAGTAAAGACTTTTCTTATCGTTTGATATTTATTCTGTATATTTTATTCTTTGTTTGTTCCTTCTTACGAACAAAACTCTCGCTTATAGCATTACTTCTAAGAGATAAACTCCCGCTTTACGAATTCCTGATTTACGAACGATCGCCAAGAGCCAATTAATTCGTAAAAGCGAATACCCTACGTGTGTATATTTGTATATCCTTTGGCGCCGAGAAAGCTGAATGATTGGAGCTGGGTGAAGTCTGTAATTCAGATTTCGTTTCAGTAAATTTGAAGGAGATTAGACAGCTTGTAATGATTATATGATTTTTGAGAGATTTACTTGAAACCACAATTGAAACCAAAATCTGGATACACTTGTAGGAATACTTTATACGAGATAAAAATTTCTATTCTAAAAGAACGACATGAAAATGAATATAATGATCCTTGTAATTACTTCGCGACAAGTTCTAGAATATTAAGAAATATTACCATTCCAATTTGTTAGATCGCCCAATTTAGGTCATGATCTCACTCTAACTCAATAAAACAATAGAACAGAAAGAATATGTCATTAATCGGTATGAGAAAAACCAGGAGAGAAAATATAAATGTATTCCAAATGAAAGTTATAAATGTTAGATAAAACAATAAGCGAGTAAAGTGATTTATATACAGGTAACGCTTTTCATATCGTAATAACAGTTCATTAATGAAATAAACACATTAATGAAATATTTTTCTTTCGTTCTCTAACATTGCTTAATATATAGTATATTATATAAGTATGTAATAAAAAAAGTACTTAAGCTATATTGTAGAATACTTTTAATCAACTGAAACACAGTAAAGGCTACCATTACTGTATCCGTATCTAATCTAAATTGTCACGCTTAAAAATACAAAACAATGTAGTGCAAAATAAACGTAGAAATCGTGAATGACAGATTTCCGATATTATAGTTTCTAATTTTTAGATCTAAGATACGCAATAATAATATACAAATGAATGGTTTAGAAACCAAAAATCAAAAGCAATTACTAAAAGAACTTACCTTTCCGGCGACGGTCATATCTCCTTCCACGAATTGTAATCGATCGTATCCTTTCGCGTCCAAAGACCTTCTCGAATCCGTACAAATACTATTATGTATACAAATCATACACACAAGCACGCGCGCGCACACAATGCAAAGACACGAAAGGAAGAAAGATGGAAAGAATAAGCAGCTTTCACAAATACATTCCAGGCTTTGATTAAAATGCGTCGATTGTTACTCGATACTTATTATAGAGATAACAGGAATCCGTGGTAATCTGTGGGAAAGATTTCAACAGAAAGAAATAGGAAAGTCCAAAACACGCTTCCGGGATATTCCGTTAGATCCTGGAACGGTATCGATGTACAGAAGAAAGCAGGACAAACTCACGACTACTCGCGGCGACGGCCGGTCAGTGAATGGAGCAAGCGAGAGCTACGACGTCATTACCCCCGCTACTTGCCATGGTCTCCAAGCAATGTCGTCACATCGTCATATGCAGCGATGGCCACGAACCAAGTGAAATACTAATTAGTTTATGAACAAATGAATAATGTGTACAAGTTATCTATATCCTTTAATACGAGGTTAAAGTTATAATTTTAATTTTACTAACTTTTAAATGTTATCTGTTATTATTCGATATTAAAAGAAATACGTATGTCCCTTTAAAGTATATACGTACGTATTGTAGTTTTATCTTCATTCAACCTTTGATAAGCATTTCATATCACTGGTAACATAATAAAATAGGTAATGTCAAAGTATATGAGAGATTTTTAAATCAATACGATAATAATATGTATATGATAATACTAAATAAATAAGGAATTATATTAATATTGTTAATACGACTTTTGTCTGTTCGTGCTGCATGTTTTTGAAATAATTAATAATTTCTGTTGCTTTTACAAATCATGGTGAAAATAGAAGTAATAAAGATAATGAAAGTTTGAAAGGAATAAAAGGATCATTACTTATGAATGCCATATCAGCAAGATACAAACCTGTAAAGTGATATATAAGATCGTAATTTGATTTTGCCCTAACTGTAACTTTATTATTATCTATACTAAAAAATATACTTATATACAGAATCCTCTTTATTTTCTGGCTCTGTTTTCTAGTAACATTAATTTACGAAATACATATTAATTAAATAGCATAGTACACACAAAATTAATACACATAATTCTTAAATCAAATGCAAATTTTGGAGACATATTTATATGTATATAAGTTACATAACGGGTAATAATATATTTCAACTTCATTTCTACATCTATTTATCTACTGTCATGATCTTAAATATGTAACTCTTTATGTGAACGTCATTATAAACTAGAAAATTATTAAATTGATCTTAATAAATATTTCCTACAAGAATGATGCAATTGTCTAAAGAAAAGAGTTACAAACTCTGTAGTTTCATAACGTTCATTAGAGTAAGCAACAATTTCGTAAGCAGAGTTTAGATTAAAATGGGTTAAATTAATAAAAATAAAAATTCGATTGCATATATCTGAACTATTTGAGATCTCTTTCGATAAATAAAAATGTTTACATGTTACAAAAATTCTAATTTGTTATAAATATTAAATCGAAGTTCTTTCCTTTCTTCAGTGAATAAAGCGTCTGTTTGAAGTTCCTAAATCCTTTTTTTGACACTCTATATATAAGAAATACGATATTTATAAATTGCTTATAGTGGAGTGATAACATCATGCATAGCATATCGCCATGTCCATGCCCTCGCGATTTCATCAAACCTTTCACGATCGTTCATATACATTTCTCCCAATTCCGGTTCCATACAGACCTGTGCATTTTGTATTTATTAATATTTATTATTAATATTAATAATCTGTTATATTAACTTTAACATTATTTTTTAAATATTATACGATTAAAAATCTTATATAATTATCACCAACATGTGATTATTAACACAATATAATTTATTTATAAATAGTTCTAAAAAATAAATGAGTTTGTTAAATTATTATTGTTCTCTATATTACCTGACAGTATGGATCCGTGAGCAAGCTTTGAACACTGATTAACACCTTCGAAATTGTTAGTGCTAATGACCAGTTATGAAGTATTGAGTCTATTCCAACATCACCATGTCTAGAAACATTTGGATGAAGTATTTTTGTAAGAAACCTTACTATCGGTGGATACAAAGGGTAACTGCAAAAGTTTAAAAAGAATGTAAGAAAAAGAAATTAGAAAATTGAAATCGAACAATGGTTATATAAATAATATTTAACATCTAACCAAAGAGAGACTATACCAATCCGTAAACATTGATTTTGACAAGATTTACTCTTAAGAAATCTGTTATTTTTATTTGTTAAATTTATTTTACATTCCTATATATGAAGTATGTAGGAACATAAATTGGTAGTAAAAAACATAGGTAAATCAATATAATTTTATAACATAAATCAGTCAAAAATATCTCAAGAAAATTTGAAAATTGAAATAATTGCTTACATTTAATAAATGCTTATATTTAAAAGAAAACTGTCCCGAAACACGATTCGGATTCTCCCAATTTTCGAAAATTTCGATATTCATGAGTCGCGAGATACTTTCAGAAATCTGATCCGACTCTGAGGAAAATTCTCGACTTGATTCGATCTAACATGTTTAAGTTCTCGCATAAATACACATTTATACATACGTGCACGGGACTTGCAGGTAAAGATAAAATAAACCTCCTTCGTACGGACTCCCTACAGGTCCAGTTATCGTAGCTTGCCAATGGCAACACTTCTGATCCAAGGGTGTTGCTTCAATACCCTCAGGAGGATCTATTCTCAAACTTTTAAGCTCGCTATGCAAACGATTTTTTCTCCATGAATTTTCTTCAATACTTGGCGATCGAGACATCAAACACGCTTGTGCTAAACACGTTCTACAAGGCGCTGAAGAAGCCAAAAAATCATATAGTTTATACCAGTTTTTAACAGTTCCGATAGGTTTGTATAAAGGCCATCGTAATTTCACATTCCGTTGCCACTGCTGTGGCGTTACGTGTGTCGATAACAAACCACACCATCTACGGCAAACATTCGCAGCTGACCAAAGACTAACATCATCCAAGTGTGAGAAGACAACTAACAATACTTCAGGTGGTAATCTTTCCATTAAGCCTGGTTCAGCGATAGATTCATATTTGGCGTGCTTATAATTCGTTAACATCTCTAATCGTTCAGACAAATTTTTCGATCTTGACATTTCTCCTGCATTACTTTGTACTTTGCAATTCCGATAATAATATGGTCGACTTTCTACTTCCTTAACTCTCTGGAATGGGACAATGTTATGTAATGCTCCATCTGCCACACGTGCAGAACTAGAACTGGAATCTTTTTCTTTATTATTTTCACGATGAATATCATTGTTTCCACTATCTATATTTTGCATACTGTCAGAATGAACGCTGTGTGAAAGCTGCGCATTTTGAGATACAACTGCCATATTTTTTGGGCTACTTGTATTTATACCGTGATGTTGTTGCTGCGCAAGTAAAATATGTCTGTTCCTTAAACCATATCTCGGAGGCTTGATACAGCGTACACTGGATCTTTTTGCTAGGTTTAACACATTCACGTTTTGCGCAGAATTTTGTTGTTGTTGACTTGCTCTTCTTTCATGATTGTAATAAAGTTCTGTTGGCTCATCATTTCCTGAATCTTCGTCATCTGATTTCTATATGTAAAAAATAAAAGATAATATGTATATAAGTACACACATACATGTCTTTATTTTCTTGTTTGCCAATGAACTTCATTTATTCGTATGAAATACAGATAACTGGACTTTTATCAAATAATTAGTCACAAAAATGTTTGTTTTTTACATTAGAGACAGAGCGTCGATGGGATGAAAATTGATAAATGAAAATATAATCGAGATTGAATATAAAAAAACTACATACTGGAAATATTTAATTATGATGGGAATTACAAACCTGAAAAATTTTCAAAAAATAAAAGAAATGTGAAAATGCTCGTTTTCCTGATAAAGAAGCGCGTATCTATTTGTACGGAAATTCACAGGAATTATTGAGAAGAGTATGAGTCACTATCAAGTAAAGGATACAAGATGATCAACCATAGTAACAGCGAAGAAGAGAGATTCGTTAAATATGATCGGAGCTCGCATGCAGAGAATAGGAGATGACCTAGGAAGGATTGTTGAAGAAGTTACAATGGCAATACTTTGACGATGAACATTAAATAGACGATAAAATTAGGCATTATTATATCATATAATTGTATGATATTTAAATAAATGAAGTTCTACTATGTATATGTATATAAAACAATACAACATACTTGACTGAAAATGGGAACTGGCAAAAAACCGATGTCATTAGGAAATAGAAATGCGTGACATGTTGGACAAACAGGTTCCTCAAAACATGGTCCATAATATCCATTGCAGAAACAACAAGTAATCGTCTAAAACACATATATAAAATATTTGCAGTAATATAATATAATGCGAGACATTGTATTAAAAGTTACTATATAAAATGTATCATTTCCAAAATAAATGAAATAAAATTTAGTTATTAGTAAACTTCATAATTTAAATAAATAATAATAAAAAGTCTTTAATATCTTGTTGTAAGTTATACAGATAAAGAGCTTCCATAGGATGATAAAAAATCTTGAATTACTGAAATTACAAATATCATTTTAAATATAAATGATCAACAGTTTAGTACTATCAATAGTTTTTAATCCTTTTACATAATTAATCCTTAATCCTTAAATTAATCCTTTTACATAATTAAGATATTATTTAAAAATAAACCGAGTGGTACCAGGTTTGAAGTCATTTTCAACAGAATAATCTTCTATAAATTTCTACTTGAAAAAACAGAGAAAGAGCGAGACAGAGGGAAGAAAAGGTGTTTTTAAATTAAAAGAATCAAAAAAAGGATAAAAGATCAAATAACAATTACTGAAAACTGGAAATTAAAAATCATTAACTATGATCTCCTTTATTTCTACTTTTACTATTATTTCCCAGATGTTTTTCTTTTTCACTTTATTTAACTGACTTCTTAATATTAAATATTTCTAAGTATATATAAGATTATCATTAACATTCAGTAGAATATTATGTTTCATATTAATAGAACATCCCATAAAACTAATAAAAAAGAATATTTCTTAGACACAATTTGTCTTGCTAGATTGCTCGAATCTTACACTGGATAATGCTTTGAAATTCAAATATTGTTATCATCCAATTCCAGTTGATTTCAATATGACCAAATCAATAAAGCATCGCGATAATTATATAACCAAGAGAAAACTCTTTATTAGTGCAATCAATAAATGAAAGTATCTTAAATTTGCTAAACCATATGTTAACAAAGGTAAAAATTTGTGGAATGTAGTTATATGCAGTGAAAAATAAAAATTTAATGTTTCTAGCTTAGATGAAAAGACTAGAGTTTAAGATCATAAATAGAGTTTAAAAATCATAAATGCTAATGGCTTGTCAAAATTTATGTCTAACGTATAAATGTACAATTATATGATGCAAATAATAATAATTGGTCTGGATATAACAATATGTACTATATTTCTAGAAAATACAAACCTATGTATTATAAGAAAAATAAATTATCTGTCAGGAACGGATGTTTAACATGTATAATTTTAAATATATTGTTTACACAAATAGTTATTAGATGTAATATGATTATATATGTATAAATATGTATATATAATGTATAAAAATGTATATATATATATAAATGTCAAATATTCCTGGAATAATATTCAATATACATCATGTAAATAAAAAATTATTTCTTTTAATATAAATTGAATATATAAACTAATTTTCAAATTGATGAAAACATACATATTTATATTGCACATATTTTATAACATATTTTATTATTATTTTATTATTATATATTATTATATTAATAACTATACTAATAACTATATTTATTTTCGTTAGAATTTTCAGTATAATATTTAAGAAATTAATAATAATAATAATAATAATAATATCACAATTTTATTATTTAGAAATTTTTCTTTGACGTTGAACAATTTAAGCGCAAATATAAATATCTAAGTACAATTTCTTGTTTAAAAGACTTACCGAAAAATTAAATTCAGGGCAAGGTACATATTCAATAGGTTCTGCAAATTCATCTTCTACATTTAAATTTTCATTATAAGTATCTTCTTTATGTACTTTTTCCTTGGTTAGATGCGAAGAACCACCTACTACTTTGTCACCAGCCATATTTAAACCATCACAAATGTAATGTTTTTCTACAAAATGTTATAGGTTATACAAGTTATTCATCTGTGTTATTTACCTTTAGTTAGTATAGTTTTATATTTTTAATACTTGTAATTACTCTCTTTTCAAAGGTAAACAAAAATAACATGAAATATCACTATGTAAATACTTTACTCTAACAGAACTCACAAATATGAGAACGATAAAATAGCTATATGGTCTGTAATTCTGATTATCTTCAATATTCAAACTCTAGAAGGACAATCGAGTGATGTATTTTACATCTACATAAACCTATGATTTTATATATATAAAATCTATATTATTTCATTTACTTCTTATTTACTTCATATATGACATTATGAAGAATTTTATGTTATTTATTTTAACAAACATTCTCATATTTTTTATATATATATAATTTATATATGTATATGCATATTTCTTCTAAATTAAAATTCATGAAAGTTTATAGCATTTTTAATATATAAAAGCTTTAATATGTGAAAAGTAAGCAATTATTAGAAAAATATTGAATTATATTTCACTGAGATTAACATATTCTCTTCTTATAAATATCTAAAAGAATGATTCAAGCGATATATATAGATATGTATGTTTGTGGTGCCTCTTATAATATATGTACATATGTAATTTAACAATAAAAATGTTTTACAAATATTTCAAACATAATTTAACATTCTAATATATATATATATATATATGTATCCAAACTAATATAAATTTTACAAAATATATTCATTTCTACTTCTGTTATGCCTTTTATATCATGCATCCTGAAGTTTTACTACAATTTTTATTTAGCCATATTATTTTAAAAGGTTATGCGCGACAAACAACTTTTTTATTCTGATTTTGATCATTATTGCTTCCTTTACTGTCTTTAGTAAATATTGTTTTTCACTATTGGATATTAACTTGTAAAAAACCAAGCGTCACCCTTCTTTTTATATTTGTTAGCGATTTTATAACATTAAATATATTTTTCTAAATTTATGATTTAGTTAATGTTTTATTTGTTAGTATTCTAATCAGCATTATATTTGTAAATCATATATGATTGACAACTTAAAGGTTTATTCGCGATTGGTGAAATGTTTTCATTGGCTGAATACTCGACTTTTGTCATGTGATCGTTCCCTATTTATGTTAATATCAGTGATACTGACTCGAAATCTTGTGGCAAAACAATAACAAACTGTATTTTACGATTGGATTGTATGAATTTTCGGTGCGTAACTGAAGAGAGTAGTGCAAGAGTAAACAGCAATATATATCTTTGTTTGTAATATTTTTTGCTAAACCTGGAAGAAGGTTGAATTTACTACAGACACCAAGATCAGAAAACTTTTTGAGTCAATGTTGTTGGCTAGGAAAAATATTTGCTGACGAAAGTCATGGTCGTTCCATTTGAGGGTGGTGAATATGTATACTATGTAATTGTGCAGATTGAGAATTGTTACTAATTAACAATATTACGGAATATGCAAACCAATTGAATCCTCGTATTAGACAGCAATATTTATGTAAACTATAAAGGGAATCTGTAAACATATACGGATACCTAATTTATTTTTGTCTTTAGATTTGAACTTAACCATCGGATATATTTTATTTTCGTTTGAAAATTTAAAATTAAGAATTTATATTGTAAAATATATAGAGTTCAATATTTAGAAAAAAAACAAACTGGTAAGATCTTTTTACTATACATTATATATAATTTAAATCATTTTTTTAATGTAAATATATAACTCAGCAAAGTTTCAGTTTTTAATTTAATTGATTTTAAGATTTATGTATTGATGGGAGAATCTGGATATATTGAACTATTTTCGGAGATTAAAACTAGCTCAATGGATGGAATAATAAAACAAGAACCAAATCAAGAAATGGGTCCTTCCTCAGCATCAGTACCTATACCAGGAGGACACAGAAGTGCTCGGGGTGTATATGAACAATTTTCACCATCTCCATTGACATCAATATGGCCCAATAGATCTGATCACATAGAATCACCATTTAAAGTAGATTCCGAACAGTTAGATGATTTTTTTAAAACGGAGAAATGGGAAGATGATGACATATTACAAGTAGATAAAGCAGATCTTATACAAGGACCTACGCTTGCTGAATTAAATGCAAATGACGATACTCTCCTTGGTGATTTAAATTTTGATGATTTACTTTTACCAGAAGAAAGAGTTCAACCATTTAAAATGGATGTTAATGTAGCTCAATCAGTTGGTCCATTGTTTAATGATAACAATGTTGTATTTGCTCCAAGTAGTTTCCCGCAATCTGGATCAACATACCGTAATATTTGCCCTACATATTTAAATACACATGGACTCAATTTGAACATAAATATCAATGTTGCTGACAATTTGGAAACAATTAGCCCCAATGCTTTTCCAAGTCCAGGAACTAGTAATATTGCAGGTTTATATATAACTTATATTTTTTATATCTATCTTAATTTTATACTTTTCGTAAAAATCTTGTTATTAACAAATTCTGTACAAAAAATTATTTTTTTATATGAATCATATAAAATATATTGAAACTAACAATATCACTTGCAATATATGTTTTATAGTAAAAATATATATACAATTTAAAGTGCAAGGCATTATTATACATATTTAATGTACTATATGTACACAATGAAAAATAATGTATTCTAATGTATTAAAAACATTCTAAACATTTTAAAACTATATTAATGATTTAAAAAACTGTTTTCAAGATATATAAATATATATATATATATATATATATATATATATATTATTTTCATATCTATATGTTAAAATAAACAGAATATTCTCAAGATAAAAGTAATGTTTTAAATAATTGTTTTAAAGGTAGTTCAACTGCAAGTTCCTCAACATCTCTACATCCTACAAACAAACCTAATGGGCAGTCTGCTCTTCATGAATTGTTAATGAGACGTTGTGATAATTCTTTTGATAATTCCACTCATGGTCAGATGGATGTTGAGTGTACGAGTAATAAGTCTAAAGTTTCTAGACTATCCATGTCTGCACCAACCCGGACAATGGCGTTAGACCAAATTTGGGCTCGTAGAGAACCACGTCCACATTTATTAAGTACTGGTAGCCTTGGTGTTGTTGAAGCTGGCTCAACAAGTAGTTTAAGTACTGGAGGTGCACTTAGTCCAGATCCACTCTATCATATTGATCCTCTTAGCCATGATGAAGGTTATGAAGATAGTGATGATGACAGTGATCACTATGATGATTACAGTAGTGATAATGGTACTTTAATGTTTATGAATGATAACATCACTTTTAATGTTCTAATTAAAAACTCTTAATATAATGTATTTTCATGTATATCTGAAACTAAAAGTAATTATTTGTAGATACCGGTGGTAGCGATGGTGAAGATCAAAACACTGGAAGTAGAGTAGGAGGTGGTAGTATAGATTCAAATCGAGATAGTAAACATAGTAAGAAAGAACGATATTTTTGGCAATATAATGTTCAAGCAAAAGGGCCAAAAGGACAAAGGCTTGTGGCAAGAGCACGTCTTGAAGATCCACATATTTTAAATGAAGCCACAGATCCTGTTTTTAGTCCTCATTGTGCGCTTCGTGGAATTAAACACAGTGGAAAAGCTCGAAAAGGTGATGGAAATGATCTTACTCCAAATCCACGAAAATTATATAGTATTGGTCGTGAATTGGATAAATTATCTCGTATTATTAATGATATGACACCAGTTTCTGAGTTACCATTTACAGCAAGACCCAAAACGCGCAAGGAAAAAAATAAACTTGCTTCAAGAGCATGCCGTTTAAAGAAGAAAGCTCAACATGAAGCAAATAAAATAAAATTACATGGATTAGAACAGGAACACAGTTGAGTACTTGTAATTGTAGTCATATGTAACCAAATATATTTTCTTGAAATACAAATTTTTTTTTATTTTATTATCAATAATCTTAACATATTTGAAAATTTTAGCAAATTTTTTCTTTTTGATAAACTTTTTAAAAGTAGAAAAGCTAATTTAATATGTCAATAATTATTGTTGCAGAACGTTTAATTCAAGGTATATGCCAGGCTAAGCAAACGCTCGCTGCAAAATTAACAGAACCTAATCCTGAAAATCAAGAAGAGTTGACACGTCAAATGGAAAAATACTGTAAATTAGCTACCAGTTAGTAGTACTTTGAAAATTTTTATATAAATATATGAAATAGTATGGTAAAAACAATTTACAAAAAATTATGGGATTATATTAATTAATTTGTTAGATACTTCTGTAAAGTTCTACACTATAAATTATTTGTTTATTTTAAATTAACGTTTTCTTAAATAGGTTTTAAAATTATTTCATTACTTAAATTGTGTGATTTGAATGTTATCAACAGTTCCAGGAAGGATGGATTTCATGTTCTTTATTTTTTTGTTACAGAAATACGAATAGCAAATCATTCAACCGAATTTGTTAATAAAGTATTGGATAAAGTACGTTCTGGTGTCCCTGATGGTGGTATCGATGACTTCTAATACACGACAGTTATTTGCTAAAAATGTTCATACGTGCGCATAAAATATGCGAGAAGGAAACGATGTGTATAAAACATAAATTCATCGTAAATCATGAATTGAATGCTTCTCATGGAAATTGAAAACCAAAAATGGAAAGTAAGAATATTGATAATTTGATTTTAAATATAGTTTTATTATTTACAATCAGTTAACAAACAATAGATGATTATTGTCAGTGTTTTATAGCATTGGTTGCGAATAATTTTAACATAGGATACATTTGTATTTTGTGTAATAGAGTATTATTTTGTGACACTATTTACCAAGAGTACAGATTTTGGTTACACATTTCTTTTATATGAAGTTGTATACGTTGCACACGCTATTAGTTTTTGATTAAATCTGTGATAATTTTGTTAAATAATTATCAATGAGTTTTTAGTGGAATATATATAGTCCATATCAAAGCAGTACAAAAGCTTTTAACTTTCTAGAATGTTGGTTCAAATTGAACAATTTGAAATGTACCATCGATTCTCTCTCGCTAAACACTGCATTCCTATTTCCTATCTCTGCTTTTTCCTCTTTTATTATGTGTATATATCTTTATATATGTTTTGTATGTGTGCGTGTGTATACGCGTATGTGCATATGAAGTAAAAACAAAGTGCTGAATATCGCAGTATTATTCCATATAGTCATTGTAAAATAATAATCGTAAATCATTGTAAATTTGAGAAGGAACTTGGATTTTTTTCTGTTTTTCTTTACATGATGGAAAGAAAGTATTCACTAATAAATTAGCAATTAAATTGTATATTACATATTCCCTAATTTCTATTTTGTGATGTAAATCTTTCTTATGTTTTAATCTGGAATAATATTGCGAATTTGAGTCAATTTTTTTTAGTACATGTATATATACATACTTGTTATCTTGTACATAGAACTTTTTTATGATACATGAAACATTTGTTAAGATCACAAGGAAAATGATGATACTATTACTTCCCAAACAAATGAAAAAATATATTAATTTTATCAAGAAATGAAGCATCATTTAGGATTTATGATGAAATATTATATAACAAGTAAAGTTTTGTCTTTTTTGGTTTTAAATAATAAACAAAACGAAATTTTTAACTATACTAGAAGTCAAATTTACTGATAAATCGTGAAAAATCATGAGTTGTAGGTAATTGTCACAATGAATTTATAAACAAAATTTCGCTTTCATCTTTATGTAACAATATGCTTCTTTCGCGTTTTGGTTTTGCAATGAAATTACCTCTTTGATCAATATATTTAGCCTCTGGTATAATAATGAACAAGATATAATATTGATATGACAAGAAATCAAGGCAATGTTAATTTTTAAATAGTTATATAGATTGTTATTTGTAAATATTTTTTAAATTTTCACTAACAGATTTATATCTTTTCTTCTGGATGTTATTTTGCACTTACAATTAAATACTTTATTTTCATAACATGTAAAACATAAAAAATAGTCTATTATATCTAACAAGCTTCCACAACATGATATATATACATAGTATATTTATAACTGTATTTATAATATATTACTTAACATAATTTTGTTTCATAGTTTTTTCATAGTTTCTAAATACGTGTGAATATTATACATAGTACAATATGTATAAAGAAATATTGTTATACCTTTAAAATACTGTTTTAATGTTTTTATATATTTTTAAATATATACACCACGAAATCGTTTCAGAATTAATTCGGTACATTACAATAATAAAACAAATTTACACAGACTTATTTGATTTGATACTGTTTTTAAGTTACAAATAGTACTGCGCTAAAACATATGAAGTGAAAATTTACAAATAATGTTCAATTTCAATATGTGTAATCTCCATAACTGTTCTAAAAATACTTCCAAATTTAATAAGCTAATTGAATATAGCATGACAAGAAAAGTTGACAGAATATGAAAACCTACAATTAGCATCTATAAGGTGGATACTACATCGAGGTGCAACATATTTATTTTAAATTTGATGTGAAAACAATAGATAGATATTATTTTTTTAAGGATAAAGCAATTTGTAATTTGAAAAGCTTAAATGTTACGTGCGTTTATTTGAACTAATTTCATTATTTTGAAGAGCAGGATCTATATCTGAACTGTCTTTTATGTTTTAACTTATATCCTGTATATATCATATCTCCATATGCGCACGCGCTCACACCACAAAGATATGCGTGATTTATTTGGGAACATTGGAATGTTTTGTGAGTAATATAAATGTACATTTATCATCTTAAAATAATATAACATAAAAAAAGCATATTAAGTGATGACGATAGATTTTCTTATAGGAGCATGTTTGAAACAAACCCCAAAAGTTTATAAAAATTTTATAAATTATATAGTCTTATCTATAATATGACAGCACTAATTTGAAATAAATTTGAAGATGAAATAATAATATTCAACGTCACAAAAGATTACAAGTTAGACTTCAAAAACTCAGATGCATATAAACAATGAGGCTTTGAATAAATTCAAACTTTCTTAATCACATTCTAGATATATATTGAATTATTTACTTTAATTATGTTCATTATGTTCAATAACTGTATGTATGCGTATTGTTGTCCGTATTTGGATAGATGCTACTATATATCACAATTACTAAAGTATAGGTTATTTTGTTTAACAAAATTAAATTGAAATCTTTTTAGGTTCTTAAAAAAAATTGTTTCAGCTACAGAGAATATATCTTTTCATATCAAATAGCTTTTGCACCAGTTGCTTACAAATTGTTACAATGTTCTCAGATAAATTAGTTACGCTATATACGCATTAAAATTAGTTGTGATTTAATATTAACAAATACATATTTTTTATGATTTTATTTAATTAATGTTAAAGTTTGTAATGAATAGTTTTCTAAATAATTATATAACTTGTTTTTTTTGCTATTAATACGATTTTTTTGTTTTAATTTATAATTATAATTTATAAAATACTCTCTGTGGTTCAGTTAACATTGAAAGTACTGAAAAGTGCTTTCAAATATATATTTTTATGACTTTTATATAATTAAATTAATCAACATTGTTACAAGTAGTTACATATTGATGTGATTCTAATTGGATGAAGCAAGTGGTAGAAGGGTAATTAGCATGTTTTAAGCGTTTTAAGTGTTATAAAATATATGTCACTGTTAAGATTTAATTTATTTGGTTGGAAGATATGTAGTTTAATCAGAATTCAAAAAATTTTCATTGTTCTTATATTTGCGAAAAGATGCCTGAAAAAAAGATATTTAATTTAAAATAGTGGAGAAATATCAAATGTATTTGTTAATTTAAGATGTATCTTCACTATTTAACGTTGATTCGAGTAAGCAATCAAATTTTTTAGAAAGGAAGATTCAGAAATGTTCAGGCTGACTTTCGAATGAAGTTTTACATTGTGATAGGATTTGTGATACTGGAAATATTGATATATATATATATATAGTTTCAGACGGTTAATAGTTTGCAATATATTTAATGTTAAAGTTATTATTTCTAAGATTAAGTAACATTTTTAGTTAAGAACGTAACGCGGCTTATGAGATATTTATTTTCTGATAAAGTGCCTTCTTTTTCGAGTCACGTTTTAACAAGTATTTCATTATTCACACTGACGCTTTAGTTACTCGCATTAACACTATAATTTTTTTATAAATATTCTGTTTACATATATAATCTATTTTCGTTATAATTTATGCATAGAGAAAATTAAATTCGAAGTAAGGACTTTTACATTAAATATTGATTAAGGTTTGAGCGCAGTATATCCATAGATTAATCCTCCAATATTATATATCAGTAACTTCGGTATCTCAAGCCTTACAACTGTGCAAAAGTTTACGGTAGTGACTCCGATAATGATTTCGTTTGTACTAATAAGATAAAACGAAAAGCAGTCACCACACCGTAAAATAACTGCCTAAATATCGTTGTTTCATTCGTATATACACATATATATATATACCAAGCAATGAGTCACTATTTCAGTAATATTTATTTATTATTTATTCAACATCACGAATGAAACTTCTAATTTTTATTTTCTTATAATACAAATGTCTTTTTCATTGGATTAATATCTCCTTTTCTTTTTTCTAATTACATACATGTTTTTTAATGGTATCTACAAATTTAAAAGGGGCAGAAATAACGCTCATAAATTTATACATATAAATAAGTGATAAATTCATCTGAGTAATAATTATTCTTATAAGAGGTGAAAGATATCTTTTTATATCTAAAATTCTTATATATTAAGGTACACTTGAATGTATTGTATATGTTAAAACTGAAACAATTTTTTTTAGAAATAGAACGAAATATTACACACAATTTATTATATATGTACACACAAATAGTATTTTACATAAGTAATCGCACTAACAGTTTTTCATATAGTCTCTTTTACAACCCTTATGAAGTTTGTAAATTTGTTAAAAAAAACGTCTCAGTAATATCTTTTGTACTTTTGTATATCATTATCTTTTTTTCTTATTAATGCAACACAATAGAAATTTAATGTTTTATGCAATGAGATAGTGACCATTAGCTACGTAATTGTTAATCATGCCTCTACTACCTATTGCTCTCGTGGTCGGATCGTGGATGGAGTTGACCACCTGTACTTAGGGGAACACTCTCAAGCAACCCGACTCTACCGATTTACACTTAATTAATTAGAAAATATTTTACTACTGGCTCTGATGATCAATCTCCGATGGCATGCCACAAAATATGTTACTAACTAACAGAGTACGATATCTTATAAAAGAATAAATTGAAATGAAAAGCGGAATTTTAGATTTCATTTCTGATCTTTTAATTAGATTTCGTTTTCGAGAAAGTAGAATTTGCATATTTATATATATATATATAACGAAACAAATATATATATATATATATTTGTTTCGTAAATACTTACTTCTCCTTAGAAAATGAAGCTTCGTTAAAAAAAATATTGACCATTTTCAATTTATTTTTATATGAAGTATCCATACTCGGTGATAATATTATAATATATTACATAGCGTCCTGTATTTTGGTAATAACCCAATTTAGATGTGGCAACATAGCCATTTTAAATGCTTCTAAAAGAGAAATTAATATTATCGAAAGAAAAGTGTCTATTTTAAACAAGCAAATGTTTTGAACAAATCATTTTCCAAAATGATATCTTTTGTGGAATAAAATTGAATAGTTACTTGTACCTCTTTCTTTTGATAGAATTTCATATTTTTATTACTTTTGTTTGTACAGATAAATATAAAACCATATAAAATATGTTAATTGTTTAATAATATTAAACAATAGAAATCGCGTTTGTATGAGAAAAATAGATCTATAAAACTTGTGTGTTTTGTTATAAATATGTACATATATGTATGTATGTATATATATATATATATATATATATATATATATATATATATATATATATATATATATATATATATATATATATATATATATATATATATATATATATATATATATATATATATATATATATATATATATATATATATATATATATATATATATATATATATATATATATATATATATATATATATATATATATATATATATATATATATATATATATATATATATATATATATATATATATATATATATATATATATATATATATATATATATATATATATATATATATATATATATATATATATATATATATATATATATATATATATATATATATATATATATATATATATATATATATATATATATATATATATATATATATATATATATATATATATATATATATATATATATATATATATATATATATATATATATATATATATATATATATATATATATATATATATATATATATATACATATAGAGTGAGTACAATGAGTATTTGCAAATATTAAAAAGTTTTTGAATGAGATATTTTACTGATAAAACTGTGCATTTTATTTCTGCAATAATAATTTCTCATACTTGAATTTACGATCAGAGATATGTATTTAAATGCCAAGAAAAACTGCTGATGTGTAAATACCTTTGTCTGTATCCCCTCGTACCTATTTTGTTTTAAATGTTTGAACGTAGTATGATCTTTAGTAATATGAATTTTTTAAATGATGGTATTTAAGGCCATTTACAGAAAATATTCCGTTGAATTTGGATTTTTACGAACTCCGTTATTATATTGATACAAATATAGTTACTTACGTAGCATTATTTATATAATAACTGAATTAAAAATACTGAACATTTTTTCTTTTCACCTTTTTTCACATTAAATGCAATGAACATATGGTCAAGTTAAAGAAAGTTAATTATCTGAATTTGCAAAATAATATGCTATAGAGAGATAATTCTTTAAAGTGGTGACAGATGATAAGGAAGAAAACGAAGATTTGATATAAAATAATGAAAGATAAACATTGTCAATGTAACCCATTGAGAAGTAGTTTAACTTTTCATTCATACGGATAATAGAAACCATATTCGAAATACAACGAATCTAAGAAATTACATAAGGAAATTGGAATTTAGCTTCTAGAAATGCGATTCTTATGAACATTTAGCTATAATTTTATCTAGCTAAATATAAATCATTAAATATAAGCATAATATTTTAAATGATATATTTATTTTGTTACATGATATATAGCATATAATATTAGTATAAATCAAGTAATTAAAACATATGTTTTCTTTTAATAAAATATAAAATGGAAATAATAAATATATAATTAATGTATTAATATATTATTAATATTGTTACAACTCTTTTCATATTATTCATATTTGTATAATATTGTTTTCCGTATATATCATTAAAACGTAATTAAATATCTTTTTGCAGGAAACATTTACAAAAAGCTGAATATAAATAAATATTTGATACTGTATGCTGGAGTGTGTTATATTTAAGATATGAACTATATTTTTCATAATTAGGTAAATAAACATGTTATTTTATACTTTATTCAAGTACATTATACATTATATATATATATGAATATGTAATGTATGTATGCCTTAGAAATGTGTTTGTACCTGTGTTTTTACCTATTACTTACGATTTATAATTATAAAACTGGCATATCATATCCTGGGAAATAAATAATAATGACGGTAAAAGTATTGTAAGTAACAACAGCAACAATAATAATAATAATAATTTTACATTATTTAAAAATTTGTCCATGTTGTGATAATTTTAACATAAATAAGCTCTTTAACGTTATGAGAAAGAAATCATTAACATGCACAAAGTTTTATTATTTTGGACGATTTATCTATATATTTTAAATACAGAAAGAAATAATTTGTTTATCTCTCTTTGTCATAAACAATTATTTCTCCCGTTATTCATATATCACAGGATAACTTCGTTTATCCGAATATGTTGCGGGACAAGGCCCTTCAGTTAATTAACGAATTCTAAGGATAACAGTTCACTAGCCATCTTTACCAGCTGTTCTTATTAGTTTCGATAATAAGAACCGACGATTGGATAAGTGAGATTGAACAACAATTTCGATCCAAACATTCAATCGTGTATCATAAACAGTCAGTTCATACCGAACGTGTATGATTTCAGGACACGCTTTTGTATAACAGAAAGTATGCTGGACAGTAATTCAATTAACGAAGGTTCAGTTATAACTTCATCTAATTGACGCTAAACAATAACGTACTCGTATAAATGAGATCCGAATAAACAAAGTTCTACCGTACCAATAATTGTAGAAATTGAAGTGATACTTAATTCTGTTTATGTTTGAAAAGATTCAATATGGATGATAGAATGAATAAAAATTAATTTCTTAGGATGTGAAAATTTTAGTAGATTTGGATTCATATAAGCATGTAATAGTTTATTAAATAGAATTTTATAGAAATTTGTAAACAATTTTATAATTACTTCTTAAATTTTTTTTTAAAGAGAGCTTTCCTTTTTTTTTCCAAAGCTTCCATACGCATGTCTTCTAAATCTTCCATAATACCTAAAAATATCAGATTATTTAATTATTCCTGTAGATAATTATAAAAATAGATAGATCCGCGAAACAGTATAAAAAATTTGTTAGCAATACCTATTTTAGTAGATACATATTCCTCCTTGAGCTGTTGTGCAAAACTGCTTTCCATAGCTGTGTCATCGTCATTATCTACATATTTATATTTATTTTTATCATAACCGAATATTTCGCTTATATATTTACTATAATCTTCATTTCCTTCTTCTACATCATCGTCAATAAAATCTTCAAGCTCAGAGTCATATTCCTCTTCATCATCCTCGTCTCTTATACGACCTGCATATTTAAGTATATATTTATTAGATATATATGTAAGTTATTGTCTTGTTTTTCTTATCCAGTTCCTAAATCTAACGATTTAGACTTCCCATATAGTTACTAGTACATCAAAACTGAGGAAACCGAGGAATTATTGACTTAAATCAAGCAATTAAAATATGCATTGTTATACTGCTACAAAATCTTAGCGTTACTGATTTTATATTTAAGAACTTTTCTACAATACGACTGTCGCAAAATGTAAAACTTAAAAATAATGGCCTTAAAATTTTTCTAAATATGAATTTAATGAAACTAAATATGAAATATGTAGAAAGTTTTGATTATTAAGGTTTATCCTTCCACAATAATTATTTTCTCTGACATACAATTAATAAAGTAAAAATATAAATTTTTTTACGTTTATGGTTAACCAGTGACTTCCTCTGTTCCTTTGAATGAAGCATTTGTTTAGATTTGATTGGCTTCATGTCTGCTGGTGGAAATTGTTTTATTTTATCATTCATTGCTTTTGGTATACGACACTTTGTTACGCTAATTGCTGGAGATTCTTTATGTATGTTTTTCGATAACTCTTGTTTCTCTACTTTCATTTTTGATACTGACTTCTCAATTTTCGGATTTTTCATATCTTCAATCTGAGTTTTGTTTAATCTTAATTTCTTTTTTTCTTCTTCAATTGCTTGTCGCATTTCTTCTAATTTTTTTCTCTCTGTTTCCAACCTTTTTCTTTCCTCAGAGAGTATGTCTCTCTCAGATGTTTTTGAAATGTTGGACTTGTTTGGAGTAACTTTATTGAGATTAGGTTTCTCAACACCTCCTTTTTTAGAAGTTGATGATTGTAATCCTGTTGCTTTGGAAAGAGTTTTATTCGAAATTGATGATACTGTGGTTAATTTTTCAGATACTTTTGATATTTTATTAGAAGAACTGGCATTATTACGACAATCTTGTGTTTTATTTAGTTTATTAGATGTCGTAACATTTCCCTCTTTATTATTCATATTGCCAAGTTTATTTCGTTGTTCCTTTCGTTCTCGCCATTCTTTTTCTTTTGCATATTCTTTCATTTGTTTTTTCGTCAATAACCTTTCTGGTTCGTCACTTTTTGGTTTAGCTTCGATAATGATTGGTTCATGTTGTTTCTTTTCAGCAATTTTTAGTAATTCAGTAAAATCAATTGGTGGTGGCATAGGTTTCCTCTTGGCTTTTGGTTTCTCATCTTTTTCCTTTTTATCATCTTTAGTCTCTTTTTCAGTGTTTTCCTCTACCTCTAATTCTGCCTCTTTTACGGGATGTTTTCTTTTCCGACGGTGTCCTAAAGCTTCTTCCACTTCTTGCTGTTTTAAAGCTAGTTTTACTCTATCCTGGAATTATAATTAATATTTAATAACGCGATTAATAAATATTTTAGTTAAATCATAGTTATTAGTTACAGTAATAAAAGAAAAAGAAATTATATTACAATGTACAAATACAATTTTTCATGGTGGCCATAGATTTTTTATAAAAAGCTGGTTCCCGGTTATCTTAAATTTTCTATTCAACTTCATGTATTCATTATACACAATATATATATGTCGGAGAAGCGTCAAAAATAGGGTTGTGGGCGCTTGATAAATCTTCATTGGAATTGGCCATCGTTGGGTTATAACGAAGGTACGGTCTATTAATACGAGTATGGATACTACCGACTCGACAAACAACCGCGGCGGTTGGACACTCGCGATCCTAGTGATGTTGGTCCTAGGTTCAATAACAAATCCGCGGTCAACGGAATGATAGATGAACGTACTTACAAAAATCTAAGTCGGATTCTTTGCGAAAACGTGGAATATCCACCGAGCGTACAGACACTAAGTAACTCGCTAATACGACCTCACGAGAGAATGACTCTCCGTCGCGATGATGCTGCAGAGGAAAGCTATGATGGGGTCTGAGGACACGAGTTCATCGGATTCGTCGAGGATAGCCTTCGTTCAGAAGGTGAGGGAATTTGGCGTTGCTGCTAATTAGTCAATCTCCATATCGGTGGTTAGAAAAGGATGCTAGCCACCCTCGAGGGAAAGTTGCTAGTGGGAGACGCCGTTCGTTGGAAAATGGGTCTCTCCTATCTTCCCGTAGCTGGGACAAAGACTGTTTGTTTGAAGGACTTTAGTCAACTAAACCCTAAGATTTATGACGGGCCCTCAGGCTAGCTGAACATGTACTGCGGAGACGCATCGACATCTGGCAATCATCTTGATGCTCGAAGAATAGGATCTGCGC